CTCCTTTCTCTGCTCCCTGGATGGGGTCGAAGGTGGCCACGGCTTTGGCGGGGGAGCGCCATTTTCCTTCTCCCCCTCATTCCTCGCTCCTCCTCTTTGCATCCCTGCTCCACCATCCGTCGCCCCACCTTGTCCTCCCTCTTTGCTCCAGGAGAGGCACGTGAGGGGGCCGCGCGCCCGTGTTCGAAACACGCTGCCCGTTCGATATCCGAACACTGCGAACCGGCCAAGTGGAGGGCGTGGCCCCTGCAAACGTTCGGGGCGTATCCCAAGCGCGGGCGGCACCAGCCCCCAAGCACAATCGCACCGCTAAGATGTAACCCGCCGCGGGCGATAATAATGCCCCGAGGATAATAAAGTTCGGGGTTCTGGCGGGGATAACAACATTCCAGGTAAGTTATGATGATGATGACGATGACGACGATGATGATGATGATGATGATGATGATGATGATGATGATGATGATGATGACGACGACGACGATGATGATGATGATGATGATGATGATGATGATGATGATGATGATGATGATGATGATGATGATGGTGGTGGTGATGATGATGATGATGATGGTGATGGTGATGGTGATGGTGATGATGATGATGGTGATCCTGGGCGTTCGGCACAAGGCTGATTCGAGAGATCTCGAGGCTCCTGGCTACTTGCCAGCGGGCGCACGGCACAAGGCTGACTCGAGAGATCTCGAGGCTTGTGGCTACTTGCCACGGCCCTGCCGCACGTTCGTAACTTGGGCAAACTGAATTGGTGAGAATCCCACAGCCCTACCACACGCTCATGATTGCGGACGCTGGTGTGGTGAGACCACCATGGCCATGCTCAGCGTGTTTGATGCTGCTGCTACTCAACATGAGATGATAGCACCTTCGATTCGCAACTTCCCCCGTGAATTATAAAGTTCGGCCTCCGCGCCCCTCTCCACAATTAAATCCTGTTGGACGGGGATTTAAAAAATAGAGGGGGTGAAGGGGGGGTATAATTTATTATCGCCCGCGTTCGGTTAAAGCTTTTGGCGCCTGCGGCAAGGTCCGACACCGTGCCGGCGCAGCGGTCCGAACGGCGATGCCTCGAGTTGTGTTTGTCCAGGCGTCCGGGACACGTGACATCTGTCACATGTTGTCGGATTGGTGTAGGGCCTTTTTGGTGGGTCCTTCGCCCTCTTGGGACGTTTTGGGGCCGTTGTGGGCAGCATTGGCGGCGCGTTCCACGGTGGCCGCTTTGGGCCAGGGATGTGTGTATTTGCAGTCCTTGAGGGCCGCCCTGAGCCAGGGAAGTGTGCAGTCGCACTTCCCTCTTAGCTGGGGACGTCGACTGCGGTTTTGGTTTGGCAGAGTAGGGGTACCTTCGAGGTAACGAGCTTTTACCTTTCCGAAATACACAGATCAAGGTGTGATCTTTGTACACAGTTCGTGTCTTCAACCGTGTACTTGCGCGCGTGGGCACCTTTTACACAGACCGTGGTGTAATCTGTGTACGCAGCGTGTGTAATCGGAGTGTGCTCCTCGCGGGTGGTGGTGGTGACTGGGCGGGAGTTTTCGCGTTTCTTTCGGCTTTCCACGGTGGGGCGCCGCGCGCGGGCGAAAAGCACATTTTGTGTGTCGAACTGTGCACGTGCTGCGCGCTACTTGCTGGAGTAGTGCCTGGGTGGGAGTTTCTGCTGATTTCCCTGCTGGTCGCGGAAGGGGGCCTTCGTTTGGGAGGGCAAAGGCGGGGGTGCCTGAAAATGGTTCGCAATCAGCAGGAACGAGTACGAGAGAAGGGGTGGCGACGGGGCTGGGGGATGGAAGGGGGAGGAGGAAAGGAACAAGTGAGCCCACGAGGAACTGCAGCATCGGCGCCAGCATCATGAGGACGAGGAAAACGGGGAGGGCAGAAGGAGGTGGGATGAACTGCGCGTGGCCGTAGGGGGGGGGGGATGGCGAGGGCGCCGATGGTAGGGGGCGCGTCGGGCGGAGTAGGGCGAGAAGGAGCGCCCTGCAGTTACAGAAGGGGGCATGATAATGACGAGGAGGAGGAGGAGGAGCAGCCGTCAGCCCTTCACCCACGAGGTGGAGGAGGAGTGGGAGGAGGGAGGAGGAGAAGAAGAGAAGAGGGTGGAGGATGAGGAGGAGGAGGAGCAGGAGGAGGAGGAGGAGGAGGAGTAGGAGGAGGAGGAGGAGGAGCAGCAGGAGGAGCAGGAGGAGCAGGAGGAGCAGGAGGAGGCGCAGAGGGAGGAGCAAGAGAACACGGATGGGGTGCAGAAGGGGTGGAGAGGTACGGGGAGGGGAAGGCGGAGGGGGAGGAGGGGAGTTGGATGAGGAGGACTAGGAGGCGTAAAAGAGACCCCTGGATAAGGAGGGAGTGGGTGGTGGAGGATGATGATGGTGACGATGATGATGGTGATGATGATTGTGCTGGTCGAGCAGGAGGAGCACGAGGAGCACGAGAAGGCGCAGAGGAGCAGGAGAAAACTGATGAGAAGCCGGAGGGGTGGAGGGGTACGGGGAGGGGAAGGGGGAGGGGGAGGAGGGGAGTTTGATGAAGAGGATTAGGAGGCGTAAAAGAGGCCCCTGGAGAAGGAGGGAGTGGGTGGTGGAGGATGATGGTGACGATGATGATGCTGATGATGATGACGATGATGATGATGATGATGACGATGATGATGATGACGATGATACTGATGATGGTGATGATGAGTGTGTTGGTGATGGTGATGGTGATGACGATGGTGATGATGAGGCGGATGGCAATCGCGATGGCGATGGTGATGGTGATGATGCTGCTGATGATGATGATGTTGTTGATGGTGATGATGATGATGATGATGATGATGATGATGATGATGATGATGATGATGGTGATGGGGATGGTGATGACGGTGATGGTGATGGTGATGCTGCTGATGATGGTGATGGTAGTGATGTGATGCTGATGGTGACGATGATGGCGATGACGGTGATGATGTTGATAATGATGGTGATGTTGCGGATGTGGTGATAACGATGAGTCTAATAACGAGCGTGAGTGCGATTCTAGTGATGATGATGGTGATGGTGATGCGTAGTGATAGTGACGGTGGTGGTGAAGATGCAGAGGAGGATGAAGAGTAGGAAGATGAGGAGCATGACAAAACAACCCACACTCTCAAGGTGCAAAGGAGGAAGGAGGAGGAGGAGCAGGAGGAGGATGAGGAGGAGAAGGAGGAGAAGGAGGAGGAGGAGGAGGGGGAGGAGAGTTGAGGTTTGCGGGGAGAGGATGAGGAGGAGGAGGATGAGGAGGAGGAGGAGGAAGAGGGGGAGGAGGAGGAGGAGGAGGAGCAGGAGCAGGGGCAGGAGCAGGAGCAGGAGGAGCAGGAGGAACAGGAGGAGCAGGAGGAGGAGGACTATTCCTGGGCTCTTCCTGGCAAAGGGCCTTACGTGTAAGGGGCCCTAACTGTGGGTGCATGCTAGCTAGCTACACACGGCCTCTCCGAGCTGTATGTAGGGCATGCTGCGCTGAAATGTAGCTAATGACGCTGTGTCCCAGCCTAGCGCCAGCCTGCCTCGCAGGTTGGCTGCCCCCCCCACGGACGGATTCTAGCATTCTTGCTGAAGGCATGGTTCGCGCGTCTGTTTGTCCCCTCGGCTGGACCAAAGTGGCCCTGATCTCAACTATGTAGCTGATGATCGCCCCCGCCGCCGCGGCTCCCGCACCACGACCGCGTCTTCCCCGTGCCCGCACTCTTTCGCCGTGGCCCGAGCACTCCTACGTCTCCTTCGCACGAGCTGATCTCTGCACTGTAGCTGATCGCTTGTGCTTTGCGCGCCCTGCCGTGCAAGGTGCGCACTTTGCGCACGAGCTGGTCTGCTACAACTGCCCGCCCTTCTCGCAAACCATTGCCCTGGAGCTGTAGATGATGACGCTGGGCTCACCTTCCTCTCCCGCTTGGCACCACTGCACTCCGTTCTCGCAGTCCACCCTTTCGGCAGGGGTCGTGGGGCGGGCCTGGCTGTCCTTCGCCCCCACACGCGCGCCTCTTTCTCGAAGTCGCTGTGGCGGTTTGCATGCTGCCACTGCATGCCTTTCTTGCATGCCGTGGCCCTAGTGCTGTAGCGGATGACGGTGAGTTCTCCTTCCTCCCGCCATGTGCCGCTGTTGCACCCCCTTCTAGAAGTCCACGTTGGTCCTTGCCCTTCGGCTGGGGTCGTGGGGTGGGCTTGGCTCTCCTTCGCCATTTGTTGTCTCGCAGGAGCTGATCCCTTCGCTGCCTGCTGTCACTGCCTGCCGTTCTCGCAGTTGATGACGTTGGGTTCGACTTTGTTCCTCCGCTGGCAACCAGTGCTCGCCTTCTCACATTTGCTGCCGCTGCGAGCTGTCTCGCCAGCGGCACCCGCTGCTTTCTGCCACCGCCTGGCTGTGACACGTGCCGTGGCCCGAGCGTTGTAGCTGAGAACGTTTGCTTCACTGTCGATCGGCGCCCGCTTGTCGCTAATGCCCGCTTCTTGGCAACCGTCAGATAGTACTTCTACAACGTTCGTCGGTCGGACCGTCTGCCATTTCATGCGGAGATCACGTAGCCCGTCAAGGGGGGTTCTGCACCATGAAGTGGATGCGGACTGCTGAAGATAGGCGTATGCCAGCGAGGTGAGGTGGAGCTCTCTAGATGGCGGGGCGAGGACGAGGAACGGGAGGGGTTGCGCGGAGAGAGAAGCGAGGCTATCGCGAGTCTGCGCACCCAGGTGCTACTCGGTCCCAGTTCTGTAGCTGATGACGTTGGGTTCCACCCTCTTGATGGCTCCGGGCGGCAGTGCCATTTTCAAGTTTGAACTCGGCCCCCGTCCGAGGAAAATGGCTGGGGAGGAGGAGGACGAGGAGGAGGAGGAGGAGGAGGAAGAGGAGGAGATGGAGGAGGAGGAGGAGGAAAAGGAGAAGGAGGAGGGGGAGAAGGACGCGGAGGACAACTCGGAGGATAAATGAGACCCCGCAGGGCGACCTGGAGGGAGCAGCTCGCTGGCTCCAGACGATGTCCGACAAGCACCTGTCTCCAGACCTGGCGCGGCGGGAGGATCCAAACGGTTGCCCGGCCCGCCCCCCCCAGCTTTCAGCGGCTGGTCAGCGGTGCGGCACTCGCAGCTGTCAGGGGCGGCCGAGAGAGGAGTGATGATGGGCCCACTTTCCACCACAGCTACCATATGTAGGAGAGGGAGGAGGAGGAGGAGGAGGAGGAGGAGGAGGAGGAGGAGAAGGAGGAGGAGGCGGAGGAGGCGGAGGAGGATGAGGATGAGGAGGAGGAGGAGGAGGAGGAGGAGGAGGAGGAGGAGGAGGACCTCCTAATCCGCGCTTTCCCCCCGTCCTGCACATGGTTGTTACAGGCTGAGGGGGCGCGAACGGTATTTCTGTGACAGAACCCGAAGTTCGGACAAAGTGTGAGGTCAATGCTTTTTACAAAGTTCAAGTCCAACGTTGCTGGAATCCTGAAGTCCTGAACAAGCTCGGAACTAAGTTTGGCGGCGAGGGTAAAATCCGGAAAAAGTTCGGCGGCGAGGAACAAGTTCGGAACAAGTTCAGATAGGCCTCATGGAGCCCCTGATGTTCGCTTTTCACTGACTTCCCGAGGGGGCTCCGAGAGCAGTTGGGGCCGTCTTGGAGCGGTCTTTGAGGCCTCTCGGAGCACACTGGAACCCACCTCGAACGATCTTGCGCTATTTTGACGCATCTTGGAGGCCATCTTATGGCATCGGAGGCGCTCTTGGAGCCTTCCTGGAAGGAACATGCGCCTCTGACACCTCCGCCCCCTCCCGTCCAGGTCCAGGGGAGGGGGTGGGGTGGGGGGGGGGGACCCCCCCCGAAGGGGAAGAGGGGCTGTTGGAAGAAGGAAGAAATATATCGTCAGACCACCACCCAGAGGGCTGCTGGTACTAATGTTGCCAAGGATGTTCTCACCGTTGGTGCTGATGTGCTCCCCCTCTGGCATCGGGCTGGGTTTCTACAGGTGGATCGTGCCCCTCCTCCTCTACCTGGACGGCGGAGGTGTGCCACTGGGCCCCGTGCGGACACCACTCTGCGCGCGCTGATGGTGGCCCCGCTGCTCCTCATGCTGGACAGGCTCCTGGGCCGATGGCGGCCCTTGCTGGCCCCGCGGTGGGCCCAGGGCTTGCGCCCGCTGCCAGCCAGCAGACGGCCATCCTCCAGCAGGCGCAGGCGGCGATCACATCTGCCGTCACCAGCGCTGTGGTGGCCAGCACGGACGCGACTCCGTCCTCGGGCCTCGCCCAGATCCAGAGGGTCATGGAACCCAGGGTGGGCGCCGTCGGGGTCCGCCTGCGGGGCATGGAGCGCCAGCAGCAGCGTCTTGAAGAGCAGCTCCGCGCGGACATGGTGAAGATCCGCGAGGAGGTGGGCGTCGTCAGTCGGGCGGGCCCGCAGCTCCCGCTAGCGGGGCCAGATTAGGACAGGGGGCCCGATGTCGGCGCTGTCACCCTGCGTTCCAGAGCCGAGCTCCCCAAGGCCACCTTCGTGGAGACCGTCGGCCCTGCTTCGCCGACGCGGGCATTCAGGAGGCCTTCTTCAAGGTGGAAGCCGAGCCCCTTGGCAAGCGCTGCGTCTCGCTCCCCCAGGGACCTCCTGAGCTGGCTGTTCGCCGCGCTCGGAGGGCACTGGGCTGCGTGCGTCTGGGTCGCGGGGGATGGCGCAAGCTTTAGGGTGCCACCCCAGCTGGGCCCGCGTCCGAGGTTTCGGTTTCCGCGGGCCAGACTCGGAAGCAGGTCGCCCATGAGCTCCTGCTCAAGCGGCCGGCGCTGGAATTGGGCAGAGGGCTGGGCAATTCTTCGCGCACGTACGTCGGCCAGCAGGGCCGCGCGCTCACCTCGAACTGGAAGGCCTTCCTCCGCGCATCGATTGCGAGCCCCACGGCTCTCCCGCAGGTGCGCTGGTCTCTCTCGGTGACGCGGGGCCTCGGCCTCTCGCGGGACGCCCCCGAGCCGACGGTCGCGGCGGCGTTGGCTGTTCGGCAGGATGATTGGTGTCCACAGTGCTCTGGTGAAGCCCTTCGGCGCGCCGCAGGGCACGGGGCTCCACTTCGCCACCTGGAATGCCAGGGCACTCTGTCACTAAAAGCTGGGGGTGGGGCGGCTCTCAGCACTGGGACAGTCGCGGTGATGCAGGAGGTCCACGGGTCGGCCGCGCGCCTGCGTCATTTGATTGATCGTATTGGGTTGCACTATCAGTCGTGCGCGAGCTTCGGCGGCGGTGTCGACGAGTCCCTGGGTGGCGTCGCGACCATGTCCCCATTCCCCCCTCGCGACAACCTCTCCATCATCCCCCGCGCGTTCGTGAAGGCGCGCGTGCTGCGCGTCGCGGCCTCGATCTCTACGGGCGAGCACGCTGGTGCAATCGTGAGGCACTGGGACATCCATGACCACGTGCTATCACGCGAGCAGGTTACCTGCGTCGCGCAGGCCATCAGGCAGGACCTCCTAGGCATGGAGGCCGACCCGAAGCGGCGGGTGGTCATCGTGGTTGGCGACTTCAACAACGGCAAGAACGCGCGGGTGGAGGGCCCCCTCGTTCCTGGGGGCGGACAGCGAGCCGCCCTTCACCCTCGTGGTCGAGCGCGGCGGCGTGCCCCGACGGCGGCGACGGCGATGATTCCTCCTCGCCCGACCCGCTGGCGCACCGGCAGGCAGATTGCTGCGTCCACTGACAAGATCTGGATTGGTGCACCGAAATGGCTCACCCAGCGGACCTACCAGCAAGCGAAGGTGAAAGGCGAGCCGCACGATCCCCACATCAATGACATCTCGCACCGCTCGCTCCCCGCGGCACCCTGGTCGCCCCGCCCTCGGCGCCGTCGCCCGAATTCTGGCGCCATCTGCCCGACCCCCTGCCTCGCCCAGGGCCACTCGAAGTCCAGCGAGCTGGTCATGGCGCACGAGCTCCAGGTCTCGCTGGCCCCGCTGTCCCCGCCTGACAGACCTGATGCGCGAATCGTGCGATGTAATATGCCATTCTGATATGCCGAATTTTACCCGACAAGGCCACATGTACCACAAGCATTTTCAAATCCCGCAGACTGCGGGAATCGATTGAGAAGTGTCTCTTGGGGAACCGATAGAAACAATGGCAATCGCCCCGATCGGGGCCGTCTGTGGGCCGCGAAAATCCGCGCCCCGCATGTTTGGTCATCGCCGCAACAAGCATACGGCGATATACGTTGTGAAAGTAATCGTTCAAGATAGGGTGCGCACCATTCGTCGTCGCCCGGTAGCCCAGCGCGCCGCTCGGACACTTATTGCATGCGCGGCTTCGCGAGGAGCCAGCGGCATGGGGTGTGATGGGAGTTAGCCGGGACCCGGGGAGTACGCGGACGCCGTTCGTAACATTTTGCGCGTCACGGCCCCGGTCTGCGAGGCTGCTTGCACTGCCATTCCGCGAGGGCCGCGCGCAGAAGGTGGGATTTCGGTGCATGGGCGGCGCGAGCGCAATTCTGACGGCGCAGGCGCCAGCAATTATAGAACAGGCGAACTGACGGGCAGCGGTTTTGCATTGTCGAGTTGTTCATTCGCGGGAGCACCTGGATATTGACTATCGCGCGACGGAGGATGATCCTTCTGGGGGCAAATTGAACCGCGAAGCATGGGAAGTTTTTAGCGAATCCAACTACTCCAGCGACTACGGCTTCTTTGCTAACCCTTCAGGTCCTACACGTGGTTTTGCATTGACGAACAGGGTGCGGGAAGTTCACGCAACGTGTCGCAATGACATTGGCAATGCTGCAACCGCAGAGACAAGTAATGTTGAAGCTACCACCTTAACATATCACGGACGATAAGAGCAACGCGTATGCATGCGCAGGCGCGAACAAGAAGTAAAGTTGGGGAGCAGACGGCAGTGTTTTTCTGGGCCACAGTTCTTGACACCCTTTTACCCTTGTTACAGCGCTCTTATGCAATTTCAATTGGAGCTGTTCGCTTGGCTGGAGGCTTAACGGCTCGTCTTCAAAGTCAAGCGGGCTGCAGCGCTGGCGATGGGCCATTCTGGCTCGCTTTGACGGCTTCTCTTCTTCCGAAGATCTGACCGTAAAGCTTGCTATCCGTGATCCGTTTCCAGAGCTCCACGCATTCGATCCGTTCCAGCGCGTCTTTCCGTAGGTACGTGCAAAAGTACCCAAAAGCAGCGGCGCGCGTCGAACGCATTCCCCGCGCCTGGAAGAAAGCAGAGTCAAGTTTTCCACGGCGACCCTTCTGCACCTCATTCGTTTGCGATCTTCCGCGTTTTCAGAGCTCCTCAGGCGTGGATTCGATCGGCTCTGCAACTGGTTTCAACCGCCGTGCTTCTGGTTGGGATTGCGAGAACAGGAGTTGATCTTCTCGATTGATCACAAGTGCAAGAAGATCGTTTCGTGTCTTCCTGGGTCGGTATCGACCGCTCTTGTTGCAGACCGCCTGTCCGTTCTCTTCGAGCGAGCTGCCATGCGGAGTTCTGCCCTTCCCGCTCTCTCTGGCTGCCGGGGTTTCACTCTCCAGCGCGGGGTGTAAAACATGACGTCGGCGCGAGGCGCGAATTGCAGATGTGCGACGGTTCCAAAATTGCTGAACATTCTCAGCACGAAGCCGGCGCCACGCCAACATACTTCGAAGATGCGCGCGCCGCCCCCCCACCCTCGGGGGCGACGCGCTCGCCGAGAAAACTTTGAGTACATGCTTCGCGGCGGGCGCTTTCTGGTCGCGCCGCTCGGGCAACCATATACTACGAGACGAGTGCGCTGATGTTCGGGTCGGACGCGCACATCCTCCAAGAAGGACACATTGTATTAGCATGTGTCTGTGCGCCCCGTGAAGCCAGGATTTGGGTCGGCCCTTAAATTTGGTAGCTCCAGGTGAAGACTTCTGCCAACTTCGCGTGCTGCCAGTGTGGCGTTTCGTATTGTCATGGAACTTGTGCCCTGTCTTTGACATGGTGGGTCGATTCCAATTCTTGTGATGTCAGCATCTGGTGTCCTCTCTTCAATTTCGCGAAGTGCGCCCCGTGGCGAAGTCGTTGATGCTCCACGGGGATCCAATGGGCGCCCAGATCGAGACAAGCGAACCTCCATGAAATATCAAACCAGGCTTGAAGTCGCTTGTAGTTCAATTAGATTCCAACACCTGCCGAAACAAAAAAAACAAGAGGAATCGCACATTTGGAGATGCACATTGCTTCCCGTTGAGGCGACGGCGTGGAGAGGAGGCCTCCGTGTCGATGCCTTTTCATTGCGGGCGTTTTATCAATCGTGCAATTTTCTTTTCAAAAACTCAACGGGGGCAAGAGCTTCCTGAACTGTTGTTACCCGAACTTCTGGGCACGTTACCAAAACCCCTTGGAACGACACGGGAAACTTTACCGTCGTTGTTGAAATCCGTTTTACCTGTCGCTGAAACCCGTCGTGTTCGCTTTCCGGGAACAAGCGCCCCTTCCGGTGTTCGCAGGATGTTTGCAGCGGGAGCTCGCGCCAGGGTCTCGTTGTTGTCAGGATGGCCCCGCCAGGCCAATCCGAGTCCCCCGAGCCCGAGTCCTATGTCTCCCCGGCTTTGAGTCGCCTGCATCTCGCTGTTACTCCTGGCTGCTGTGCCTGGCGTCTGGGGGCGGCACCGTGGATCGAGCGTCTCCTGACGTGGGGGCGGTGCATGGGGCGAGGCCCCTTGGGCTGTCTGCAGGAGCGGGGGCACTAAAGGAGTAACCTGGGACCCCGACGGCGCACCAGCTCTGCCCCTTTCTTCTCCTCCTCCTCCTCCTCCTCCTCCTCCTCCTCCTCCTCCTCCTCCCTGCCCTCCCTGCCCTCCCTGCTTTTCCTCCTTCTCCTCCTCCTCCTCCTCCTCCTCCTCCTCCTCCTTCTCCTCCTCCCTGCCCTCCCTGCTGTCCCTCCCTCCTCCCGGCTGCTCCCTGCGCCTCCTCCTTGCTCGGGTCCTCCTCGCGTCTGCTGCCCCATCGCCGAGCTGCGCACGCGGGGGGCGCCGAGCGAGCCGAGCCGGGGCCTCCGAGGAGCGCGTGTCCCCCGCCGCCGCCGCGGGCCCTTCCCGGCTTTGGATGCGCCGCCCTTCGAGCGATTTCGCAAGCAGAGCGGACATTTCCGCCCCACTCTTCAAGCTCTTTGGAGGTCGATGTCTTCCTTACTCTTCGAAGAAGAAGAAGAAGAGCAATCATAATACACATAAGCATAAGAAATGCCATAAAGATAAATTGTTGGCACTCCGCGCGGATTTCTTGGATCCGCGCTGGGCCCCCCTGGCGTTGCCTCCGGCGCCGCCCATGGCGCGCTCCGCGCGCCAGGGAGGGGGGCCCAGCGCAGATCCAAGAAATCCGCGCGGAGCGCCAAAAGTTCATGTTTATGGCGTCGCTTCTTTTTCTAATTTTTGCAGGCGCCGTTTCCGCCAAAACCTGTTCGCAAGTGTCGGCCCTGCTCCCTTCCGAGGCGAGCAGTTCCGCCCCGGCTACTTGTTCGCACCGTTTCGGGTGGGCATCTCCGACACAGCTTTTCCAAGGCGGGGAGGTCAGTCAGAGTACTGCGGGGCCGACGTCGGGGCCGCCTCCCTTCCTCGGCGGCGAGCGAGGGGGAGAAGTGAGAAGGGGCGGGGCGTCTCAGAAGGCTCGGAAGTCCCCCAGCCTCTCTGGGAAGACGCAAAAAACCTCTCAGAAGGCCGCGTGGGCTTCTGAGAAGTTCCGCCGCCTTCCGAGGAGGTCTTCTCCTTCTCGCTTCCCCCCCGTCGCTCGCCGCCTCCTCCCCGCAGACCATCTACAACTCGGTGCTGAAGGCGTGCGCCCGGGCGCACGACGCGGGCGCCGCGGAGGGCTGGCTGGCGAGGATGGAGGCTAAAAGGCGGGCGCCCCCCCGCCTTTCCCCCTCCTGGTTGTGTGCCGGAGGAGCTGCGCCCGACTTCGTTGTGGTGTTCCGCCTGGGCTGGCGGTGTGGCCCAGAGCGGCGAGCTGCCTCGCGTTGTGAAAAAGTCAGGGCGGGAGTTTTCTTGCTATTTTCGGCCCCCGGGGGCCATTTCCGGGTTTCGGGACCATCATATTATGATCCAGGATGAGACACCAGTCTTGAGGAAGGCGGTCGACGTTGTGAAACAATCACGGCGTCGGGGGTCGGGGTTGTGATTGAGCATTTCTTGGAAGGCACTGGAGGGACGTTGGAGTCGGATCGGGCCACTTTGGCTTCCTGTCGCCGGCGAGCGAGGGGGGGAAGCGAGAAGGAGAAGACCTCCTCGGAAGGCGGCGGGGTTTCTCAGAAGCCCTCCCAGACTTCTGGGAGGTGTTCTGTGTTCTGGGGGGAAAGGCTTAGAAGACAGAAGACCAGGGGACGTCCGAGCCTTCTGAAAGGGCCCGCCCCTACTCACTTCCCCCCCGGGCTCGCCGTCGAGCCTTGTGATTGAGCATTTTTTGGAAGGCACTGGAGGGATGTTGGGGTCGGATCGGACTGGTTTGGCTTCTGGGAGGCCCAAGAGGCAAGTGCTGGAAACGCCTAGGAGCGCCCAAGATCGCCCAGGAGCTTCGGCCCTGTAACTATAACGCTTGGTACTGAAGCCAAGGCAGTGAAGGTATATGTTGTGTGGTTGCTGAAATTTGAATGTCGTTCGAAGAGGTGAGAGGTTGCCCGCAGTTCTGTGGCTCAGCGAGAGAGGGAGAGAGAGGGAGAGATGTAGTTCTGCTGGTTCTTCAAGCGCTTTCGGGCCGCGCAGGCTTCCACGCCAGAACGTCAAACGTGCAGGTCAGTTCGTTGTCTACCGCACTCGCTCGAGGGAAGGGGGGGAAGAGTGGGCGCCTGCACTGTAGAGCTGCTCCCAGTTGCAGGCAGACGCCCCCCTCTTTTGCCACGCCCCCTGGCGTCTTCACGGTCTCTCCACTCTCTGACACAGACGGCTGACTTTTCAAATGCGAAGTCTCGGCGCCTTCTCAAGTTGGAGATGCGCGATGTGTTGCGCTGACTTCCGCGGCCGAATCTCTGTTCAGAATATGCCATTGCAGATGCCTCGAGGGAAAAAAATGTAGAGCCGCCCCCAGGGTGCCGCCCGACGCCTTCTCCTTCGGCTCCGTGATCGACAGCTGCGCGCGCGGCGGGAACTCGTCGGGGGCCGTGCACTGGCTGCAGCGAATGCGCGGAGGGAGGCTCTCGCCCTCGGTACCGTGCTACGCGGGCGTGGCCACCGCCTTTTCGCGGAGCCGGGACACGGACGGCGCCCTGCGCTGGTTCGAGGAGATCGGGGCGTCGAGGCTGCAGCCAGACGTCGCGGCGTGGACTGCAGCGATCGGGGCGTGCTCCTCCGCGGGCAGGTGGAAGGAGTCGCGGGTTTTCCGGTGCACGCACGGCCCAGCACGATCACGAGGGTGGGCAGCGTGCCAAGGGCACCCTTGCAGCCCTCCTCCTCCTCCTCCTCCTCCTCCTCTTCCTCCCCCTCCCTCCTCCTCCTCCTCCTCCTCCTCCTCCTCCTCCTCCTCCTCCTCCTCCTCCTCCTCCTCCTCCTCCTCCTCCTCCTCCCCCTCCTTTTCCTCCTCCTCCTCCTCCTCCTCCTCCTCCCCCTCCTCCTCCCAGGGGGCGAGGGTCCCCTTGCCCCCAGCAAGGTGCCCGCGCCGCGCCCCCGCGCGCGCGCGATTGGGCGTCTGCGCTGTCGCGGCGCCGCTGCCGTGGCCTGGCCGCCTGCGCCCTGGTCGCTCCTGGGGGGGGCGGCGCTGCGCGGCGGCTACGCCCACCAAGGGGAGGCAGCGCTCGCCATCCCCGTCGTGGCATCGGCGACTCACGAGGGCTCGCAGCACTGCAAGGCACTTCCTACGAGTCGAAGCCACCAGAGGTTTGCTCGCAGCACATCACGGCTCCAGCCCGCCTCAGCCCATGGCCAGTCGGTCAGGCCAGGGCAAAAATGGTGCGACACAAGATTCACGTTGGTCTTGTGCTGTTATTCGCCAGTGTGGGTACACCAAGAATTTTGCGAGCAACGAACGGTGCTACATGTGCGGGCGGGATAGGGCTGGCAAACCTGATCCAGCAGGGGCTCCCGACCGCCGTCCAGCGCGCTCACCCGCCCCACGCAGGCCCAGCAGGTCTCGACCTAGCAGCGCCCGTGGCGACCGCCCAGCAGCGGAGGGAGAGCCAGCGGACGAACCGCCCACGGTGTCAGATGCGGTGGCCAAGGCCAGGAAGGCAGTGGCAGCGCTCCGCAGGCTCGGCATCGATGACACCAGCAGCTTGCTCATTGCAGCACGGCGACAGTTACAGGAGGCCGAAGAAGCAGAGCGAGCAGCACGAACTCCAGACGATCAGTTGCGCAGATCGTCGGACCGACAGGTGCAGAAATCCAAAGAGGTTGCCCAGCTTTGCGATGTGGTGGCCGAGCATCAGGAGAACTTTGAGACCAGAAACGCCGAGTTGCAGCTAACTGAGGGCGAGCTCACCGCAATCAACTCAGAGGTGCAGGTTGCGCGCGCGGCAGCCCTCGCCACCGCTACCGCAGGTGAGGCCCGCGCTATCCCAGACACGGACGTGGATGATGCATTGGAGCGACTGGGGAAGATTGTCCAGGCGGCTCCGTCGGTCACGGCGGGGAATGAAGGGACCTACCTCATTTCCCACGCGCGTCAGTTCCAGGAGGTGGTGGCCAGCGTGGCAAAGCAGAGGTCTGCGTCGTCACGGACAGCGGCGTCACAGGCAGCAGTGACAGCACCTGCTGGAGCGCCAACGTCATGGGATGCCTCGATTCCATCAGAAGATCGAAAGCCTCCGGAAAGCGTTGACAGCAATGACGGAGTCGGAAGGTGAGCACAAAGGTAAGATTCGTGCATAACTTCTCTGGGCGCCGCCAACAGCCCACTTCGACAGCATGCCGCGTCAATCTCGACAGGGGGACATGATCAATTACCACGAGTACCAAGCTGAAGAGCGCTGTGGCACAGGCGACAGTTTTGTTGCTCCAACGCGCACGGTAAGTGGAACTACTACAGGGCCGCCGTGCGTCGCCACAGGGCTTCCACAGCTGCACTCGAGACCGCCGGCGGGCGGGCCTGCCTTCCCGCAAGTGTTGCCAGGCACGCGCGGTGACCATTCCCCCGCGAGCGCGGCTTCCGCGCTTGGTCGCCCCGACGGGTACGGCATGACCAAGCGCGGCGGTAGTGTTGCGACGGGGCGCGGGCGGCCCTCGACGATGCATGGACATGACGCAGGAGTTTTGGTTGAGAATGGTGAGCGCAATGATTGCATTCAGTCCCGTTGCAGGCAGAGGCTCGCGACGGCACTGGGGCGTCGCATGTCGATGCAGGGCTGCCGCGGCCACGCTCGAGACCACCGGCGGGCGGGCTGCCTCCCGAACAGGGTTGTTATACACGCGTGGCGCCCATTCCCCCTCGAGCGCGGCTTCCGCGCGCGGCAGACCCGGCGGGGCCAATCGCGCCACGCGCGGCGGTGGTGCTGCGGCGGGGCGCGGCACCTCGCGAGAACAACGTGGCCCACCAGCGGATGGCGCTGCCATTTTGGTCGAGGGTGGCGAGCGCAATGATTGCAGTCAGCCCTCGAGCAGGTTGTCTGATTCGAAGTTTTGCCCGCTGCTTCAATTGGGGGCCGTCGCCCCGCCGCCCGACGTTCGGGCGGCCAATCAGGCGGTGCACGTTGCCGCGCGTTTCGCTGGTCATGGCGCCCCGAAGGTGCGACGCCGCGCGGGGGAGCGTCGGGCGCCGATGCGGATGGTTTCTTTCAACAGCTCTGGTTTGCCGCAGACGCAGGACCGCCTGGATCACGCACGCCGCCCGTCAGCGGCGGCAGGGCAGGAACTTTGTTCACGTGGACATCGGCGCCTTCTCGTCGAAGAGCGGTGTCAGAAGAGGGGCTGGCATGCCTTCATCTCGGGCGCCATCCTGAGTGACGCGGGTCAGCCCGTGGGAGGGGTGGGCCTATTCGTAAGCACATCGACGCGGCACCGCTGTCAGCAGTCTCCGCTACGCGCACTTTGGTGCCTGGGTACTGCGCGGCGATGATACTGCAGACGGGCGTCAGGGGAGGCGCGATCGCCGGCTCTTCCCACCTCGAGCAGGGATGGACGCTCGGAGGCTCCAACGTTAACAAGCTCGCCAGGATCGGGGAGGTCCTGAGCTTCTACGCCTTGCCAGTCGCTATGGGCGGCGATTGGAATACGCCGCCATAGGTCCTTCGGAACCCCGATCTTCCGCAGGTGCTAAAGCCGACCGCCATCGCATCCAAGGGGGGGGGCCTGCAAGGGCCCTGCGACAGGGGACCACTCCCGACGTGACTGCTGGCTGGCACCGGAATTTCTTGCCACAATTGCGGAAGAACCCGCGCGGGTCGGAGGCCCCCCTCCGCGCCAGCGCTACCCCGTGAGCGCTGAGATCGGCCCGAGGCCTCGGAGCCAGACATTGCGTCGTCTGGTCAAGCCGCATGGTCTTCCTGCCAAACCTTGCGCGCCATATGGCAGTCGAGAAGACCAGGGCGGCGAACCGCGCTGCCCGACGCGGTGGCGCACAACGCGCGGCTGGGTAGACATCGTGAGGCCCGATGCCGCACTCGGTTTTGGTTCGGGGGCTGCACGCGCCACTCGCGCCCAGTCACTTGCCGCCTGTCTCTACCAGGGTGCAGAAGAGGACCCCCCCCCTGTTGCAGATGACTACTGCGGACGCGCGGCAGGGCCACAGTGCAAATTCGCCACGGCAGGAGGCGCCTTGGCACGGCAGCAACCTGCGGGTGCACAGCAGCCGCGGGCCCTGCACATATTGCAGTCGCATGTCCACGACCTACGCATCATGTGCGCCAAGGGCAACCTACATGCATAGGCGCGCACTTGGGCGCACCTCACATATTACCTGGGTGGTCGCGGTCGCGAAGGCAGGCTGCGCGCGCATCAGCGAGCGCATTGCCAGTGACATCGTGCGCGTGCTCACATGCATAGCAGCGCAGCCCATGCGCACCCGCCCGCGCTTGACGCAGTTCCTGGGTGTCTTCATCGAGAAGACTGCACGACGCGATGAGTTTCGCCGCGCGGGGGCGCGTGCCAAGTCCTCTAGGAAGTTGATCCGCACCGAGCCAGGCGCCGTGCGCAGATGGACTAAGCCCATGGGATGGCAACTGTCAACAGTTGAAGCTGAAAATGGGGTCTCCAGTTCGGGGGCGACATCGTCACCTCCCATGGGGCCTCTTGGGGCAAGATCTGGGACGGCCTTGACGAGGCCCCACTCGACCTCGACGGCAGCCTGTTCCAGGATCAGGACGAAGGCCTCCTCAGGGGACATGGGTGACATGGCGCGCGAGGGCCCGCAGCGCCCCCCCCCCCTCCCCCTCGAGATCTCCGAGCTGAGGGGTGGCGCGCATTATATTGCTCGCTAAACCTTCAGGAGGATATCGTCCGATTGCGCTTCTCAACTCGGTATGTCGGCCCTGGGGGGAGGCGAGGCTCGACTGGGTTCGGCAATGGGCTGCTCGTCTTGGGAGACCGCGCTTGGAAATGAGCTCAAACATCCACCGCAGATGTGGCCGCGATGCTGCTGGTTCAGTCGGAAGCCGCAGGAGCAGGCAACGGGGGATACACCACGGTGCAGGCCGTAGTCGATATCGAGAAATGTTTCGATCGCATTCCATGGCGTCCTCGAGTTGATCTGCATTCCAGCGCCAGTTTCCGGCGCGACCGGTGCTACCGGCCTGGCCGTTCGCAGGATAGCTTGGACCTCCACCTTTTTTCAGGAAGTTATGGGCCACCGGGGGCGTCCTGCCAGGCTGCCCGCTGGCGATGTTCTGCATTCAGTGCGTGATGATAGGCCCGTTCGATCCAATGCATGAAAAGTGCGGCACATATCACGCGCACAGTGCATTGATATGCTGATGATATCACGATTGCGATCTTTGGCATGACACATGATATCGTGAATGCATCAGTTAGTATTCTGTCGGAGCGTGTTGCCGCCCTAGATAGCATGGATCTCGCCCCTGCGAAACACAAGATGACAATCGCCTGTTCGTCCACGCAGATCGGGAAACAAGTCGTCCGACTGGTCCGTCATTTGGGATATCGCTATGCCTCGGCACTCGAAGTCCTGGGGATCGAGGTCGCAGCAGGTAGACGTCTCACCTACACGCGTTTGCGCCCGAGGATCGCCAGAACCAGGACAAGGATGCCCAGGTTAGGTTGTCGGTCATTGACCAATCAGGAACGGCGGTGGCACGATTCTCGAGACAAGCGCTACCTTCTGCGATGCAGCGCGGCGTTGGGGTGCATGGGGCGCCCCCCAGACTCGCGCTGCACATGCGAAGCGTCATGAGAGGGACCTGGTACACTCCTGGGGCTACTACATCCGCATGGATATTCTCTTTCATTCAAAGAGAAATCGGGGGCGACCCGCAGGTCCATTCTTGGACCCAACCCATCTTCCAGTGGGCGCTCCTGGTTCAGGACAGATGCATCTCTCATGACGCGTTGCAGAAGGCTTGGCACGGGTAAGCATTTTGTGTTCTTCGGGCCCCGAACCCGTGGTGGCAGGTAGCAGGCGCGACTGGCGCGATGCTTTTGACTTTGCGCGAGATTGGCTGGAGGTCCGTGTCTGCCTTCATCTTTGTAACGGATCTTGGTGACAAGATCGGCTAATGCGTGGCTGCTCCAGCTAACGTCCGTGACTTGGCGAGAGCTGCCGCTGTTCGTAAGATGTGGTCGTCTTGGGCTAGGAGAGGCAATCCCGCGGGTGACGGGATGGACCCGGAAGAACCCATTGGACATTGGCTGGAACCCATATTGGGCCTTTTGAGTCAAGCCCCATACGAGCCCGACGATAGCGACCAGGACCCCGAGGATACCTCCGAGCCAGCCTCCAAGTGGCCCCCCACCTTTCGAGAATGCGCCATGTTGCGCACCATTGTTAGTGGGGGCTTCTGGGCACCTAGCAGATTTTATCGACATGTGTATGCGAATGCAGATTGCCGCCCCTTCTGCACAAACGATTTCTGCACACAGTACCACATTGTTTGGCAATGCCCATGTCGTGAACAGCAGGGGCGCGCCAGTCTAGGTGATGCTGCTACGCGAGGCCCCCCGCCAAGGTCTTGCGGATCCTGGTTTTGGACGCGAGGACTGGCCTCGCGATCGTGCTTTCCGCCGCTGCCTAGGCGCAATGGCGGTGATCGTCGGTATATCGAGTGCGGCAGTCTCGACGGAGTCACAGGCGACATATACACTGACGGCGCGCGCAGGAAGGCGCGGGCCTGGCCTGAGTCGTCGAGGGAGGGGCAGGGGTTCGTGAAGTACTCGTCCTGTAGCGAAGTCATGGCATAAAGTGCCCTTCCCGGTCCAGTGAAGATCTCGCCGAGGGCCGAGCTATATGCCGCCCTGGAAGTTTTGGAGGTTTGCATCGCCCCTGTCCATGTGCATACCGATTATATGGGCATCTTGGATGGGCTGTTCACGGGGGCTGCCTAAACGCGTGGGCCTGGGCGGCCCAACGCTGACTTGTGGAAATCGATATGACATAAGGTTGGTGATTTAGGAGACCTTGGGGGGGCCGTGACAGTCACGCCACGCATGCGAGGTGGTGCCAGACTGGCGCCACCCGAGATGCTCGCGCGAATAGATGGGCAGATCTCGCGGCCAGGGCTGGCAGGGATCTGCGTTCTGCCCCGACTCAGCAGCAAAAGGCGATGCGCTTTGCTATGAGGTCCACAGTGAAAGTGCTGCATTGGCTTGCAACATGCGCATTTGCATCGCCTCTCTGCGGGGGGAACCGAGACGCGTCCCCGCGAGAAGGCCAAGGGCGGCCGCGGGAAGAAGACACGCCCACTGGTCGAACCTCCGCCTTCTCACCTGCGACACCACATGCCCGAACAGGAGGGGTTTGTTAGGTGCAGTTTTTGTAAGAGGAGCCCACGCGTCGAAAACCCGTGCACGCTTGCCCCTAGAAGCCCGCCCCGCTAGAAGCTTTACCCAGCGTGAGTCGGGAGGGCGGGTGGTGACGGGCACAGTGGGCGGAGTGGATTTCGCTTCTGCGAAGGAAGTGGCAGTCGTGAGGCCCGTGGGCCCCCCGAGCGCCGCGGGCCCCGGTTTGGGGGCTGCTGTCGGCGCGAGGAGCGGGAATCGCGCCGCTGCCTCGTGCAGCCCCGGCAGGATCCGCTGTCGCGGGGGGGGGGGAGGAGCTTTGCGAGCGCCCTGAGGCCGCCTCCCCAGGTCCTGCGCCCCCTCTCCTGGCGGGGGAAGGTGTTTCCTTCCCCCGCCCTTCGGTTGAAGCAGAGGAGACTGCCGCTGTCAATGCTAATGCCAGGCCCGGGGACACAAGTCCTGATGCCCGCAACGTACGGGTACGTGTGGAATTTTACCCTGTTACGCACACTGCGTCTGTTGACGCCGGTGAGATAGCAGATGCTGCCAGGAGAGTCTGCGTTCCCTCGGACGTGTCTGGGGCCCGCAGTGAGGCCGTGAGTATGGGCGACCCTGCTCTTCCTTTCCGTGATGGGCCTGCGTTTGTTCTTGTCCGCAAGAGACAGCGTAAAGGACACCGCCGCAGTGACAGGCCTTGGCAGGCCGATTTCACGGTCCCCGCGGCCATGGTGCCGCGTTTTGGCATTGTTCCTTCCGCGGCCTCTCGAGGCCATCGAATTGGGTCGCGCCAGGCCACTGCGTCCCCTGCGTGTCGTGCGGTTTTTTCTCGGCAGGAACCTCTGGCCACCTACTTATGCATGGTCAAACCGATGAATCCCAGCTTTCCGAGCGTGCTGCCCGTAACAGACGTTTGTGTTTCTTGCTGGGAAGCATCCAGCTGATGAGGGTCGTGTTGTTTCCAGGACTTTCGCGGCCCCGCGACCCTTGGAAGCCCAGGAACCCGAGGTCCATTGGCTACGGCTCCCTGTGGAGCCGCAGCAATTTCAGGCAAACTGCACTCTAATTCCTCACAGTGTGGGGCTGCCTTCCATATTTTCCATATGTTCATGACATGTTTGTTGCTCCGCACCTGCGCCGAGATCCCTCGGATGCGCCATGATGCGCCAGGGGCTACCGAAGGTGGCGCCCTTGCCTGCCCTCCTTCTTATGTGCCCGCCTGTGCTGACGGACGCGGCGGCGCGGCCACGCAGCGTCTTATCCTCCTCCTTTTTTTCTCCTCATCCTCCTCCTCATCCTCCTCCCTCTCCTCCACCCGAAGGGACGGCCGCGCTCCCCTCCCCCCCGACCGATGGGACGGCCGCGGCCGATAACGAAATCAATGTCCTTTTCTCCTCGATCCACGAGCCTCGATCCTCCTCCTCCTCCTCCTCCTCCTCCTCCTCCTCCTCCTCCTCCTCCTCCTCCTCCTCCTCCTCCTCCTCCTCCTCCTCCTCCCAGGCCTTCCCCGCACGGCCGCTCGCCTCCCCCCCCTCCGAGGGCCCAGGCGCCCGCGAGGCCCAGGGGTGGCCACCGCTGGGGTGCGTGTGCGTGTGCATGTGCATGTGACTGCGCGTGCGTGTGCGCGTGCGTGAGCGTGTGCGTGTGCGTGTGCGTGTGCGTGTGCGTGTGCGTGTGCGTGTGCGTGTGCGTGTGCGTGTGGTGCGTGTGCGTGTGCGTGTGCGTGTGCGTGTGCGTGTGCGTGTGCGTGAGCGTGTGCGTGTGTGCGTGAGCGTGTGCGTGTGCGTGTGTGTGTGTGTGTGTGTGTGTGTGTGTGTTGGGGGAGGGGGGTGCGTGTGGGTGTGGGTAGTTTCGTGTGGTTGTGTCTGTGTGTGGTTGTGTCTGTGTGTGTGTGTGTGTCTGTGTGGGCCCCCTCCTTGGTGCCAGCTCTCCCGCCTCACACCCCTGGCCTCTCGCTTCCCACGACGGGATGGCTTCGCGCCGTCCTCTGCTTCTCGGCCTGCTCCTTCCTCCACTCTGTGCCTCGCATGTACGCCTTCTTGAAGAAGGCCTCTTCGGTTGCATCTACCTCCACCCTCCCCGGTCCACTTCGCATGCCTCGCTCCCATGGTTTGCACCGGAGCGGCGTGCCCCCTCCCTGCAATCCACGCCCAGACGTCCTGTATGGCGTCCCTCCTTTTTCTCGTGCTCAGCCACGTTGGGCAGGGCCCTTATGGCTGGCGTGCCACCTCACTGCCGTCCACGCCCGGATGTGCTGTCTGGCGGCAGGCGCAGCGATGTGCCTGACGCGGTTCCTGAGGGCCCGGCCGCGGCTCCGCGCTTCGCACTCTTGCTGTCTCCGCCTCGTCGCCTCGGGCGAGGCCGCCACCGTCGAAATGCCTGTGTGTGTGTTTGTGTGTGTGTGTTGGTGGGGACGGGGCAGGAGTCGCCTTCGTTTCCAAGGTGCTCGGGTACGCTTTCTCCGCCTCGTCGCTGCGCGCGGGACCCAGCGTGTGGGTCGCATTGCGCAGCAGGGATCCGTTTCTGCACGGCGGCTTGTCTGGCAGAGCCCCCCATCTGCAACGCCAGGTGGAATTGACGCCCAACGTGCCCCGCTTCTGCTCTCGCTGCAGTGACGTCACTTGGTCGGTGGAGGAAAGCAAATGGTGTGTGCGTGTGTATGTGTGTGTTTGTGGAGCGTCCGCCGCCCTGGCTGTCGTTTCTCCTGGCCTTCCTGTCCCTCTTCGCTTGTCTCTCGGGCGTGGCTGCAGCACCCACTGGCTGCTCCACTGACGTCACACTGGCACCTGCGCGACGCGGAGCAAGCGCTCGCCGAGGAAAGAGCGTGTGGAGCGCCATGTGTGTGGAGCCCAATGTGCGTGCGCACGGTCAGCCAACTTCCCCCACGCGGGCAAGCCTCGAAAAAGAAACAAGTGTGCGTATAGCACTCCGCAGCTGCGGATAAGAGTGAGGGGGCGGCGGGGAAGTCGGCAGCCTGCGAGGCTCTGAAGAAGCCCGCCGCAGGCACATACTTGTTACAAGCTATGAGCCCGTCGCAGGCGCCGGCAATGTGGGTGGGTCGCGGGTCGGCTCGCGGGTGGGTCGCGGGATGGTCGCAGGTGGGTCGTGGGTTGGGTCGTGGGCCGGGTCGCGGGTGGGTCGCGGGCGGGTCGCGGGTGGGTCGCGGGCGGGTCGCGGCTGGGTCGTTGGGTGGGTCTCGGGTGGGTCGCGGGCGGGTCGCTGGTTGGGTCGCGGGCCGGGTCGCGGGGGGGGGGGACGACAACAATAAAAGAACCAAATAAACCAAATATCAACAACAGCAATAATAACAAAACCAACAACTGCAACAATAATAATACCAACAACAACGCGAATAACAACAACACGAATAACAACAACAACAACAACAACAATCACTTTACCCGAACGCTCAGTGTTCTCACCAGTGCCAGGGTTTTCATGCGACGCCAGCCAATACCCCCACTTTGTGGGGGGCAGTGCAAGCTCTACCAAATATCCACACGACTCTTCGCCACCACCCACACCCAGCTTCCCGCCCTATGACGTTCGGACACTTCACTTCGTGGCCTGCGGACGACCGTGGCTACTACACTGGCGTGGAGTACACACCCACAGAAGTTGTTAAGCCTACGTTCGTACACCCACAGAAGTTGTTAAGCCTTGTTAACCCACAGAAGTTGTTAAGCCTTCCACAGAACATCTGTTGCATATGATGCATATGGTACATGATACACATGATACACATGATACGTACTCACAAGATAGTTGATCACATCTTTAGGGCAAATTCCTGAGGGATGTGGGAATACACAAGAGAGAGAGGATATGGTTGTCCCGATGGTTGTCTCGATGGTTGTCCCGATGGTTGTCCTGATGGTTGTGGTTGTCCCGATCGTTGTCCCGATGATTGTCCCGATGGTTGTCCTGATGGTTGTGCTTGTCCCGATCGTTGTCCCGATGACTGTCCCGATGATTGTCCCGATGGTTGTCCCGATGGTTGTTCCGATGGTTGTCCCGATGGTTGTCCCGATGGTTGTGAGCGATGCCGGATCCTCACGCCCCCCGCCGGAGGAGGAGGAGGAGGAGGAGCAGGACAAGGAGGAAAGGAGAGAAGAGAGAGGAGGCCGTTTTATTCTCGGCGGCCGAGGGCGCAACCTATGGCGCAACCAATAGGGGGACGTTTTATTCTCGGCGGCCGAGGGCGCAACCTATGGCGCAACCGCAAGGGATTGTGGCCCCTGGCAGGCGCGCGAACCCCGTTGCAAGAGCGTGCGAAAGTAGCTCGCGCGAGCTCATGTAACATAAATGTTGGAAAACCATTGGTTTTTTTAGGATTCGGACAGCGCGCGCGGGTAGAAATTTTGAAAAGTCGTGCAGGTGTTTTTCGAGGACCTACGGTGCGATTCGTGTGATTTTATGATGCGCGGTGCTAAAATTCTTAAGAAGCCCAATGGTTTTTGGAGATTTCGGCGTGCGCGCGCGAAGAAAAAACGAATGTGTCCCGCATGGTATTATTTGACAGGGATGATGGCCCTGGCAGGTGCGCAACCGTTGTCGCAGAAGTTCGAAAAAGTTGCTCGCAAAAGCCCGTTTGACAGAAATGTTTAAAAAGTGTTGGGTTTCCTACGAATCCGCAAGAGCGCGCGGGATGAGATTTTGACATTTTTTTGTTGAAAAACCATTGGTTTTTTGATGTTTTTATGTTAAAATCGCTGCGAACACTAAGGTTTTGGAAGGATTTCGTCTTGCGCGCGCGAATGTCCACTTTACCTTATTTTTTGCAAGGGATTCTTGAAATTTGATTATATTAGAACAAGAAATGTCATTTTCTATTGTTTTTTGCAAGGGAAAGCGGATTACAACAAAACAACCGGATCCTGTACACACCCTCTTTTCTGAGGCTTCCTCACGAAAATGATGAAAATGTAGCTGCGGCCTAGGCGGCGCAGGGGGGGCGCGCACCAGGGGGCCCAACAATAATTATTCTTTAGAATAAATAATGTTCAACAACAACAACAACAACAATTACTAGCACGTGGGGACACTCCGTTCTCACCAGTGCCAGGGTTTTCATAGGAGGCGGGCAATACCCCCACTTTGTGGGGGGGCCGGTTCAAGCTCTACCAAATTTCCAAACGACTCTTCGCCACCACCCACACCCAGCTTCCCGCCCTATGACGTTCGGACACTTCACTTCGTGGCATGCGGACGACCGTGGCTACTATTCAGGGCCCCGCGGCCGACGACGACGGCGTGCGCGCGCGAAGAAAAAACGAATGTGTCCCGCATGGTATTATTTGACAGGGATGATGGCCCTGGCAGGTGCGCAACCGTTGTTGCAGAAGTTCGAAAAAGTTGCTCGCAAAAGCCCGTTTGACAGAAATGTTTAAAAAGTGTTGGGTTTCCTACGAATCCGCAAGAGCGCGCGGGATGAAATTTTGACATTTTTTTTGAAAAACCATTGGTTTTTTGATGTTTTTATGTTAAAATCGCTACGAAAACTAAGGTTTTGGAAGGATTTCGTCTTGCGCGCGCGAATGTCCACTTTACCTTATTTTTTGCAAGGGATTCTTGAAGTTTGGTTATGTTAGAACAAGAAATGTCCACTTTAGCTTATTTCTTGCAAGGGAAAACCGATCGTAACAACACAACCGGATCCGGACCAACCCGTTTTGCCTGAGACTTCCTCACGAAAATGATGAAAATGAGGCTGCGGCCTAGGCGCGGCGGGGGGGCCGCGCACCAGGGGTCCCAACAATAATTATTCTTTAGAAGTAATAATGTTCAACAACAACAACAACAACAACAACAACAACAACAACAACCACAACCACAACCACAACCACAACCACAACCACAACCACAACAACAACAACAATAACGACAACAACAACAGCAGCAACAACAACAACACGAATAACAACAACAACAACAACAACAACAACAACAACAACAACAACAACAACAACAACAACAACAACAACAACACCAACAACAACAGCAACAACAACAACAACGGCAGTAGCAGCAGCAACAACAACAGCAGCAGCAACAACAACACCAACAATAACAATAGCAATAAACAGCCAACACCAATCACAACAACGAAAACAATAATCAACCAACTAACAGCAACAATCCGCACCGCAGAACCTCACTTCAGCCACGCGCCCAGGGACAGTGAATGACCGTTCGGCCTCTTCATTCTGATGAACATTGACTGCCGGAGGTCCACGCGGAATTCTTGGATCGGCGCTGGACCCCCCTGGTGGCGCGTTCCCCGGCGCGCTCCGCGCGCCAGGGAGGGGGGGAGGGGGCCAGCGCCGATCCAAGAAGTTCCGCGCGGGACTCCGAACGCTTTGCTCCTGGTGCCCCTCTGCAGCCCGAGCCACCCCTGGGAGGAGTCGCAGGCCCTGCTCGAGCGGATGCTGGGCGCCCGCGTGGCGCCGAACCGCCACACCCGGATCGCCCTGGGCCACGCCCCGCTCCCGGAGCTCCCCGGGCCGAGCCGGCCCGCGCGGAGAGAACAGCGGCCGCGCCCGCGCGTGCTCCCCAGCCCTCCGCGCGTCGAGGGGGGCTCGAGGCCGACCCTCGACCTCGGAGGAGAAGGAGGTCCCCCATACCGCTACCCCTCCCCCGTGTCTCCATTAGGGGGGCCTCCTGGGGAGCCCCCGTCGCCACCGCTGGATTCGCATCGAGAGCCTGGGCAGAGCGCACCCCAGGAGAGGTCCGGGAAGCCTGCAGCATCGGTACCCTTCAGTTCCCCCACGACCCGCACCTTCCGCACCTGCCGCGCGGCAGGGTCCGCGCTGCCGCGCCCGCCGCTGCGGCCGCTGCGGCAGCACCTTCCGCGCGCAAGGGTGCGGAGGGTGCTGCGCGAGGGGGAGGTCTTCTGTGGTGTTCGGCCTCTGCGGGCCCTCGCTGGGGAGCCGAAGCGTTAAAGAGCGACTCGGAGCATGTCATGAGGATGGCGAGGACGACAAGGAGGAGGAGGAGGAGGAGGAGGAGGAGGAGGAGGAGGAGGAGGAGAACGAGGACGACGAGGACGACGAGGACGACAAGGAGGGGAGGAGGAGGAGGAGAGGAGGAGGAGGAGGAGGAGGAGGAGGAGGAGGAGGAGGAGGTTGAGGAGGAGGAGGAGGAGGAGGAGCAGGAGGAGGAGCAGGAGGAGGAGGAGGAGGAGGAGGAGGAGCAGCAGGAGGAGGAGGAGGAGGACCAGTGCAAACCCAAGAGTCGCCGGCACGGTTGGAGTAAACCCTCCCCCAAGCTCCCTTTTCATAGGCCCCTACAACGGTTCATCTCCACAGAGGGACCTGCCTCGTTGGAAGACAACCATTTTCAGACCCTGAAGCATGCCTAAACATTGCTCGGGATTCCAACGCCACGGATCAAGCTGATTGTTGCGTCTTGACGATCCTGAATCGTGCCAGAAAGCCATTCTTGGGATTCCAACACCGCGAATCATCGTAATTGTTACACCCTCATGAACCCTTCCGAAACATTATTTTTGGTACGTCGATCATGGGGCTCTTGTATTGTTAAAGCGAGTGTGTGCGCGGCGCTAAAGCGAGAGCCACATTTTGACAAGAAACCGCCCTCAATCCGCGAAACTCTTGCAATGTTTGAACACGAATGTGCGCGGCGCTAAGGCGAGAGCCACACTTTGAAAACGACTCGCCCTCAATCCGTGAAACTCTCGCATTTTTTCTAGAAACGCATGTGCGCGGCGCTAAGGCGAGAGCGACATTTTGAAAACCACCCGCCGTCAATCCGTGAAAGTTCTGCAACTGGTGAAAACGAATGTGCGCGGCGCTAAGGCGAGAGCCACATTTTGAAAACCACCCGCCCTTCATCTGTGAAACTGTTGCCATGTTTTCAGCTTGTGGATCATAAGCGATGAGGAACTCTCAGGCGAAACGCCCAGCCCACCCTAGAAACTGACCCCGGAGCGCGGCAGGGAGAAGTTATTTCATTAGGAAAAGGAACTGAGGAGGAGGAGGCGGAGGAGGAGGAGGAGGAGGAGGAGGAGGAGGAGGAGGAGGAGTTGTCGAGGACTGGTATTTGGGGGTCGATGTTGTGAAAAGAAGTATGACGTCGGGGGCCTGGGTTTCTGCCTCCGTCCCCTCCGGCTGCGCCACGGAGCGTCCGACATGACCCCACCCAGCTAGGGCCCAATGTATCAGCCAGGTCGGGCGCATCGCATCCAGGCCGCCAAAGGCCAAAGCACCCCAGACCCCCTCGCTTTATGAAAAAACCTGGACGGAAGGTTTCTCGCCTCCGTGGGGCCCCTACCTGGCCTCGGGACCGCCAAGAGACGACTCGGACTGAAAAACCAGTCCCAGGCAAGGGGGTCCAGACCTGTGGGAGCCGACGCTGCGCGTAACTCGAGGGTAAATCTGAGCCTTCGGGTTGGGTTGGGGTAGTTTGGTGGGTGGTCATAAGCACAAATTTACGGAGGAGCGCTCGGATCTCTTTCCTCTTGGGCCGGCGCAGGGCCCCCCCCCCCCCACGGCGCGCGGAGCGCGCCGGGGGCGGGGCCGGAGGGTCCCGTCGGGGCAGTTCCCGCGCGGGCGTCCAAGGAATCCGCGGCCTCCGTGAGCTCGTGGCTCCCAGCGGGTTGTGCGGCTGAGTGGTCTCGATGCGCCCGTATTGCCCAGACCTCCTCGCGTCGTGAAAAAATCACGACGGGAGGTTCTTCGCCATTTTCGGCCTCTGGGGGCCCTCGCCGGGCCTCGGGAGCGTCAAAAAACGACTCAGGACGAACAACCGGTCCCGGGGAATGGGTCGGGACCCCTGGGGGTCGCGCCATGAAAAAATCATGACGTCGGGGGTCTGGGTGTAACGCAACGCGTCCCGTGTTCAAGACGTCCGTGTCAATACGTTGCGTGTTGGCTCTGCCTATTGGCCCTCGTTTTCGCGAGCGTATCGCGTCGGACCTGCGTTTCTCCAGCCCACGCGTTGAGCTCCGCATCCATACGCCACGTGCTGCGTGTTGCGTATCGGGGCAGCTCAGGCTGTACAGTCGGGGCCCTGAAGAAGGAACCCTCTTCGTTGGGGAGGGGCTCCGCGTTCCTTAAGTGTTTCGCAGCTTGCCTCAGGTTTCCCTTAGGTTTTCGATAGGAAATCGAAGGTTAACTTATGGGAAAGAGGGGCCTCGTTCCTTATTTAGGGTTCCTTAGGTCAACGCCCCGACTGTACGATTCTGAGAGAAGCGCCCCCGACCTGCCTCGCACGCCCTGCGCACTGCGGCCGCCAGGCCCACGGTGTGCCGCTGCCCCCCGGGCAGCCCGCCTCGCCTCTCCGACGGAGGGCGGCGCGGCACGCCGCGGCCGCCGGGCCCGCGGTGTGCTGGCGCTCCGCGGGAAGCCCGAGGGCGCCCTCGAGGGCGCGAAGCTGTGCGCGCTCCGCGGCTCGGCTCCGATGCCTCCTCGTCCTCCTCTGCTCCCCCGGGAGGCGGCGCGGGAGCGCGAAGTGAGTTACTCGCACCTCGCGCTCCGCGCAGCGCGGAGCGCGAAGTGCCGGGAGCCCTCGGAGGCCCGCCTCGCGCCTGCGGGCGGGCATCGCTCGGAGCAGCACCGAGTCGTGGCTGTGCTCTCCCTTCGGGCCCGAGGGCCGCGCCGCGGCGCCGACGGGCGTCGCTCCCGGGTGCGGCGGGCCCGGCGCGGCGGGCGTGCGCCCCGACTCCAGATCCGCCCTACTTTGGCTGTTTTTCCAACTTAAAATCGCGTCGGACATCCATTTAGGGTGTTTTTCCAACTTTAGCTGTTTTTCCAACTTAAAATTGCGCCCTACTTTGGCTGTTTTTCCAACTTAACTTTGGCTGTTTTTCCAACTTAAAATTGGGTCGGAAATTTCTGCACCCAACGCAAAGTGGGGCGGAAATCCACAGAGGCAGGGCGGAAATTGGCATCAGCGGGGCTTGAAAAGCAAGGCGGAGATTTCAAGCCCTGCTTACGAATTTCCCCAAAAGGTAGGGCGGATCCGGAGTCAGGGCGTACGGAGGGCGCCGGAGCTCCCGGGCCTCTCGTGGAGCAGGTCGGCCGCTCCCGTGGGGGTCCTGGCCCAGGGTGTCTCCAGCTTTGTCCTGGCATCGCTCGGGCGTGTGTCCTTTTTCTCGGCGAGGGCCATCGAGGACCAGCCTGGACCATCGAGCAACAAAAACACGCGCGAAACCGAAAAAGGCTCGGGAGATGGACGTCCGAGCGATGGCAAGTGGGGTGCTGCTAGAAGTGGTCCTGGCCCAAGGTGTCTCCAGCTTTTTTTTCGGTAGCAGGTCATGGGAGGCGGGTGCACCTGAAGTCCGTCTTCAGCGTCCACTAGCGTCGATCAGCGCCTAGAGTCGATGAGATAGCGCCGATTCTGGCGTCGTTGAGCGTCGATTCAGTGTCGATGAGCGTCGATTTAGCGTCGATGAGCGTCGATCCGCAAGAGCCGACAAGATGGTACGGGAGGCTCCCATGAGTTGCCACCGAAAGCTTTGCGTCTCATTCTGGAGCTCCTGGCCCCCCCTGGGCCTCGTGAGGGGTACTCTGGAGGCCATCTGCAGATCCTGGGGACATTGGGTGAGGGACACCCTTTTGGCACCACCCGACCCGTCAACTCTCCGCGTCATGAAAAAGCCCAGGTCTCCCACGAGGTTTTTTCCCGAGCCATCCTGTGGTGTTGGGTCCTCGTTCCGAAGGGACAGCGCAGCGCCCCGCGTGACCTCACCTCCCTCCCGCCCCTCTCCTCCTTCCTCCCATCCCTGCCCCTGTCCTTTGCATGCCCGTTTCGGCACACCCCTTACACATTTCGAGGGCTCATAGGGAGCTCCACCTGAAGCCCCAGTGGCAGCATCCGCGTGTGGGCGTCACGCCCTTTTCGGCTCACTTCTTACACATGTCGTCACGGGGAGCTCCACACCAGGCCCCGGTGGCAGGGTCCGCATGTGGGGCGTCACCACTGTTTCGGCACTCCCCCGGCACGCTTCGTGACCCCATGAGGGGGCTCCACCTGAGACGATACTCACGACAGCGTTGCTCACAGCTCACAGGTGGTTTCTCATTGATTTCGGCCTCTGGGTCTGGTGATCCCGCAGGGCCATCAAACATGTATCCAGGACGAAAAACTATCCCAGGGGCACCGGTCGGGACATCGGGGCAGCGGACTGAAAGGAATATCCTGGCGAAGGACCCGCCCATTTGCAGTTGTGAGCACCGCAGTTTTATCGTCTTCGGTGTGCCGAAACGCGCCCGCATGTGGACGGTTCCACCGGGGCCGTGGGTGGAGCTACCTCTGGGGCCACGAATCGTGTGGTAAGGGGTGTGCTGGGGCCTTCGGTGAAGCTCCCCAGCATGGGGCCACGAAACGTGTGACGGGTGTGTCGAAACGGGCGTGACGCCCACATGCGGACCTTGCCACTGAGGCCTTAGGTGCAGCTTCCTATGGGGCCACGAAGCGTGCGAGGGGTGTGCCGAAACAGGTATGATGCCCATATGTGGACGCTGCCACTGGGGCCGTAGGTAGAGAGCTACCTCTGGGGCCACGACGCGGGTGGGGAGTGTGCCGAGATGGGCACGCGGAGGGCATGGGCACAGGCAGGGGTGGGAGGAGGGGGGAGGAGGAGGAGGAGAGGGGAGGAGAGGGGAGGACGCGGGGCGCCGCCTCCCACCGGCGTTCCCTCGACCTGCACCTGCCGCGCCTTGCGGCGCGGCACCTGCCCACACAAGGGGGCCCCTCCGCTTCCGGATCGCGGCGCTTCCCGCTCGGCGGGGGGGCGGCAGTCTTCGGAGAGCCCCCGGCCCGCGCCACCGCGGCCGCCGCTGCGGCCTCGACGGCGGCCGCCGCTGCGGCCACGGCGGCGGCCGCGGCAGGTGCGGTGGGTTTGCATCTATTCGTTACGTGGGGGGCGGGGGGCTTGCACAAATGATCGTTGTTTGGATGATTCACAGCTCGACTCCTCACCTCGAAGTAAATAAAGAAAGAGCCCTCCAGGTGGTGTCTGCGCTGTCACAGGGCTTGTGCCACCATTGCGCTGGTTGGCGGTGCGGCCGCCCCCCAAGTGTCTCGGGCCGCCCCCAGGGTCGGCCCCCGCCCCCCACAGCAGGAATCGACGCAAACCCGCCGCATGACCCTCGACCTGACTGCACCTTCCGCACCCTGCCGCGGCCGCCGCCGCGGCCGGCGGCCACCGTCGAGGCCGAAGGCGGCGGCCGCCCCCCAGGCTGCCCCGGCCGCCCCCGGAAGTGCGCGCCGAGCCGAGCCGTGGTCGTGCGCCCTGCCTGCCGCCCTGGCCCTGCGGCACGATCCGAGCGCCACGCGGCGCGGCCCCTGGCGGCGGCGGTCCCTGCCGAGAGGCCAGCGGCGCGCTGGGCGCTGCTGCGCTCGCGCGCGCGCGCGCGCGCCCGCGCGCGTCCGCGCGACCGCCAGGCGCGGGCCGCGGCGGCCAAGGGCGACGCCGAGGGGGACGCCGAGGCCGCCGAGGGCGCCGAGGGTGCCGAGCCGGAGGACAACGACCCGTGCGCCCCGCCAATCGCTGCCTTGCCCGCACCCAGCCTGGGGCGCGCCTGTGGTTGTGCGCTCGCCCTGGGGGTGCACCCGCTGGCAGCTGCGCATAAGAGTGGCCCTTCGCGGGAGTGACCTTTGGTGCGGGTCCACACGGGTCCCGCCAGTACTGGTCGACACACTCAGATTGGTTGGACGCAGCCCCTAATAGCAGCCTCCTGGAGCCGCGCACCAAGGGTCACTCTTGCCCAGGACCGCTCTTGCGTGCAGCTGATGCTCGTGCCTCTACTGCTGTCATCGGCGCTCCATGGGCGCTTGCCGACGAGGCGGGTGCCACCAGCTTCGGGTATGATAGGTCCGTGTCGTGTCGACGCGGCGACGACCACACCACGGACGTTCGAGATCGAACGCCACGAGCGGGCATTCGTCCAATTTTGAACGATTCGCGCTTTCGGAGAGCCGCGACCGTTCAAGGTTGAACGATCCTCGTGGTGTTTGAAACCAATTCGCAAGGCGTCACGACACGAATCTGCCGCATACAGAGTTGCCGGGCTTTGGGACCATGCCCATCGGCTTACATGCGTGCGATCTGGCCCGCGTGGCTTCGTCCCTGAACCGTAAGACCACTGGCTCTTTTCTCTGTGAGCCCAAGGCCTGTTGTGACGCTCCGTCGTGCGAATACTTCAGGCTCCAGCGCGTCAGGTCTCTAGGCGTTGCGCTGACTGGTCTCTAGGCGAGGCGCTGACTGGTCTGGCCACTCGTGCTTACACATTCGTACGTGCTAGTGCCTTCTTGCCCCCGACCTCAGAGTTGGGGCTCGGTCCTAATGCGGTCGAATGAGGGCGCATGGATGTGCGTGCGCGAGCAGGGCGTCGTTGCATGTGTTTCATTGGTCGTGCTCAGGTCAAATGCTGTCCGATTACTGCTTCGATTGCCTGAACGGTGGGTCCTGCCTTTTGTGTTGGAGGTATGTAGTCCAGGCCTTGGGTGGTGGCGCGTGGCTCCGTGAGGATGAGGAGGAGGAGAAGGACGAGGAGGAGGGGGAGGAGGAGGAGGAGGAGGAGGAGGAGGAGGAGGAAGGAAGAGGAGGAGGATGAAAGAGGAGGAGGAGGAAGAGGAGGAGGAGGAGGAGAGGAGAGGAGGAGGAGGAGAGGAGGAGGAGGAGGAGGAGGAGAGGAGGAGAGAGGAGGAGGGAGGAGGAGGAGGAGGGGAGGAGGACAAGCTAGGTGCGCTCGCGTCATATCTGACATCCTACCCCTCCCTCCCATCCCTTACCATGGCGTAGATCCCCTCTCTACTCGCACAGTCGGATGTCGAGCAGGGCAATGATCCCGAAAGGGTACGCGATGCATTGTAGAGCACGGCATGGCATGGCGTAGAAGAGCACCGCAAAGCGTAGTATCAACCTAGCATTGCATTGCATGCCGTGGCATGGCACGGGAAATGACGCCAGCGCTGCAGCGGGAGCACGAGTCGAAACGAGCGGAAGCGCGGAAATGAGGCCAGCGCTGCAGCGGGAGCACGATTCGGAACGAGCGGAAGCACGGAAATGAGGCCAGCGCTGCAGCGGGAGCACGATTCGGAACGAGCGGGGCCCGAAAATGAGGCCGGCGCCTCAGCGAGAACAGCATTTTGAAACAAATGCAGGCGAAAACCCAATTCCGGGGAAACCTGTGTGTAAAAAAATAGTACGCGGGGGGGGTCGAGCACTTTCAAACCGTCATCAGGGGAAGAGGGAGAGCAGTATTCAATCGAGTAATTGTCGAAGACGAGGAGGAGGAGGAGGAGGAGGAGGAGGAGGAGGAGGAGGAGGAGGAGGAGGAGGAGGAGGGGGAGGAGGGGGAGGAGGAAGGGGAGGAGGAGGGGGAGGAAAAGGAGGGGGAGGGCGAGGAGGAGGAGGAGGAGGAGGATGAGGAGGAGTGAATTGGCTCGTGCCCAGGGTTCTCGGTGCGGGTGCCATGGGGAGGCGAAGCAGGCACCCTGCCTGATCTGGCATAGAGGTCTGGCCCTGAGCGCGAAGCCCCTCCCCTGCCTTCTGCCAAAGTTGCTTCGCCTCGCCTGCAGGTCTCACAGGGCTTGATTCTTGGATCACGTACTGGCAGAGCTGCAGCCTCGGAGGGGTCTTCTCCGAACGCCGCCACAGGCGCCCATGCCGACTCACAGCGTGTTGGGATGTCCACGCCCATGCCGCCCACTTTTTCGTAGCGCAGTCGTGTCACACGTGGAGTGCAACGGGCATCCAGTATCCAAGTCAAACCAGGGCCAAGCCAAGCAGCTTTTGGGGACGTCTCAAACGAAGCGGGGCCCAAACCAGGCCACACCGTCGCCAAACCAGGCAAATTCTGAGAACGTCTCGGGCGGGACTAGGCCAACCAAGCCAGGCCAGGGCCAAACCAGGTAAACCAGGAGGACGTCTCATGCGAAACCGGTCCAAACCAGGAGCCAGACCAGGAGCCAAACCAGGCAAATTCTGAGGATGTCTCAGGCGGGGCGCGCGCCCAAGCCTGGCCAAACCTGGGGCCAGACCAGGCAGCTTTCGAGGACGTCCCAGGCAGCATCGCCCCAGCCGAGCTCCATCCACACTCTGCAGCAGAATTCCGAGAGAGGGGTCGAGGCCCCCAGGCCCCCCCCCCCCCCGCGGGCGGCACCCCTTTCAGACTCGCATGGAGGGGGGCGTTTGGGCCGCGCGCCCGCCGATGCGGCCGGGGTTGGGCGCGGAAGCCGTCGTGCGGCCTTTGGGGTGCTGCTCGTGCCGCGGCGAGGCGTCGGAGGCAGGGGGGCGCGGAGGTGGCCGCGCTCCGCGCGTCGCGGGCTCGGCCCGGGGGGCGGCTCCTGCGAGGCCGCCCGCGGTTCGCACGTCGCGCCGCGATCGGCGCGGCGTCGGGAGGTTTCCCGGGGGCGTTCCGAGGACGGCCTCGCCCGGGAGGGCAGAGGACGGTGTCATCTCTGCCGCGGGGGGAGGTCGGCGAAGGTAAGACGAGGCCGCCTCCGCCGGCGGAGGCCGGCGGAAGGCCGGCGGAAGGGCGGCGGAAGGGCGGCGGAAGTGAAACGTGCGCCCCCACGTGATGAAAACGTTTTTGGGGTTCAGGGTTTCCGAAGTCCGCCAATCGAATGGGCAGCGGTAGGATGTCATGTCAAAGTCTGCCTGCACGGGCGGATCTGGCGTGGTGCCAGGCGGAGGGGGGGGGGTTGCTCTGCCGCGCGCGGAGGTACTTGTTGGCCGACGCCGCGTGCGCGCCCTGCCTGCAAGTGGTTACGCTCGCTGGCCTGTCGGCAGGTTGACGACGAGAAGGAGAGGTGGAGGAGCAGGAGAAGGGAGGAGAAGGGAGGAGGAGGGGGGAGAAGGGAGGAGGAGGAGCAGGAGAAGGGAGGAGAAGGGAGGAGAAGGGAGGAGGAGGAGGACGACGCCGACGATAATGCGGGGCCCTGCACCCGATGACTGGCAGCTGCAACGCAGTCGGGCGACCAGAACGAGAAGGATGTGCAACATATCTTGGAGGCCGCTCCAACGTTGGCCATGTGCAGGGGATTCTTGCTGAGATGCCTCCCACTTAGGCGCACAGAGTCAGGGATGATATCGAATATGTACGATGGGGGCTTCCACTTCACCGAGAAGATCTTCTATTAAGCTGGACCTGTCCCTCTAAACGGGGAAAACTAATCAAACACAGCGTCTGGGTACGATTGTTTTAGTATTTTCTGACCATGTCGGGGTATTTGTTTACTTTTTTGTATTTCGTCCAAAATCGCCTTGTAGGAAGACATGCCCGACCTGAATGTATTAGTAGGGGGTAGGGCCACATTGCAAGATGTTGCAAGATTCGCGCGCAGGGCCCCAGCATGGCTGGCACTATGAGTGTTCAGACTCGGAGACTCCTCGTATGGATCGATTGCGAGCGATGTGTGCGAATGGGGAGCGCATGAGTCCCCTTCAGCGCGTGGCATTGAGAGTCTCGTCTGATCGATCAGCACGGGACGAACTGGAGGGAACTGGAGGGATGATCTCGACATTAGTAATCATTAGTCTTTGCCTTTTCACAACTGGGGCTCGCGAAATCGTCGAACTCATCTGATGCAAATTACCCTCTATGTTCATTCCCCATAGAGGGATCGCTTGCGCTAGTAGGGTCGGTCGGACTGCCGAGTGGAGACATCGACGACGCCGTCCCAGTTTTGCAGTAGTTCTTAAAGCCCCCAAACAGCACCCTCCCTGCAGCAAACCTGGTATGACCGCATCATGGGTTATCTAGCACCAGGTCTTTGATGTTTGTTGCATGCTCGCCTCTTTCAGCATCTAAGCGTCCCAGAGCGCCCGAGAGAGCTTTAACATAGTTCCAGGACGGCCCGATAGCGCCCAAACAGAGCCCCAAATCTGCCCAAGAGAATTCCAATTTTTTTTGAAAATGTCCCGAGAGGCCTCGAGATTGCCTAAGAGCGTCTCAAGAGGTGGTCAGGCTAGCCGAAGGTAGACAGCTCCAGAAGTTTCCAATAGCGCCCAATGGAACCCCAAAATGATCCCCCATTAGGCCTCGGGATACAAAATTGTCCTTCGGCTGTTAACGGTTTTGTGTCCTAGCATTTCTGGGTTTCTGGGCGTCAGAGGTCCGAGAGGAGCCAACATATGCTCCAAGACAGCGTCAGAGCGCTCCAAGAGTAACTCATGACGGCACAGGAGGGCTCCAAGATAGTCCACGGGTCCTCCAAGATCCCACCGTGAACGCTCCACGACGGCCCCTCTCATTTTGGTCTCTCTCTCTCTCTCTCTTTCTGTCTCTCTCTCTCTCTCTCTTTTTTTTTTTTTCTCTCTCTCTCTCTCTCTCTCTCTCTCCCTTCCCATCCCTAATCTCTATCGCGTTGTCTGTCCGGATAGGCTCTCTCTCTCATTCATCCCTCTTCACCTCCCATTATTCATGTTCGTGGTCTTTTTCTCTCTCTCTCTCTCTCTTTCTCTCTGTCTCTATCTCTCTTTCTCTCTCTCTTTATCTCTTTCTCTCTCGTTACCCTTCCGTCTCTATGACGTCTCAGGGGCAAACAACAAGCAATGAACTTGTTTCGATCTCAGGGAGTCTGAGAGACGGAGAGAACGCTCGGGATGAGAAGGCATAGGAGGAGGAGGAGGAGGAGGAGGAGGAGGAGGAGGAGGAGGAGTAAAAGGAGGAGGACGGTGAGGAGGAGGACGAGAAGGAGGAAGAGTGGAACGACGAAGCGGAGAGGGATGATGAGCTGGATGAAGACGAGGATGAATACTAGAAGAGGGAAGAGGCTTTGCTATTAAGTTGCGTTATGCCTTTCTCTCTCTCGCTTTCGGTTTGCCTCTCTCCGTATTTGTTTGCTATCTCTCTCTCTATCCATCTACTGTTGTTTGTGTATATGTGTATCTCTCTCTCTCTCTCTTTCTCCCTGTTCTCGTTCATTGAAGCGTCCCAGACGGCTCACGATATCGCGGCGAGTTCACCAGGAATCGTAATTTTACACCACGGGCCTCTCTTTCAGCCTCGCAGTAACGTCTGGATATCAAGAACTCGTAGGCGAGAGCCGTCTCGAAGACATACCACGGGATCGGTCCCATTCCCACTAAGACCGTCTTCGCAGTCGGCTAGCGCGCGTAGCGCGCGCGTGGCTCCAGTTGCATATGATGCTCTCCCGCTGGCGGCACCGCGTGCAATCGAAGCCGAGAGATATTCGGGCCACGTCTTGGAAGTGGGTCGCTCTTGCTGGTTAACCCCCCGACACGTTCAGTCTGCAGAGGTATAGAGATAGCCGGGTGTGGCCATACAGGTTTGCGTGAGGATTCATTGTTCCAGAGAGGCGTGCCGCAGGCGATCGACGAGGGGCAGCCGTGGGGGCGAGGCAGAGGAGGAGAGTGGATTGGGCCTCGATGCAGCGCCTGGCCCCTTGCCAGGTACATCCAGAAGGACACGCGGTGGCGGAACAAGCAGCGGACCCTCGTGTTCAGCAGCCGCGGCGTGACTTCCAGGCTTCCGCGGGGGCGGAGCGAGGCCTGAGCGGCGGCACAGCGAGCAGTGGTCCTCGACACTCCCCCGGCATGAGGACGGTGGACCATGTGGCCAGGGCCTCTGTCGAGTCGAGGAGCTTCCGCGCTGTCTGGCGGTTGGCCAGCGGCCCCTCTCGAAATCTCTCTCTCTCTCTTTCTCTCTCTCTCTCTCTCTCGCTCTCTCTCTCTCTCTCTCTCTCTCTCTCTCGCTTTCTTTATTTCTTTCTCTCTCTCTCTCTCTCTCTCTCTCTCTCTCTCTATATATATATATATTCTCATACGCACCTCTCCGAGGGAGTAGAGCTCAGAGGCGATTAATGCGCACGCGTCCGCGATTTTTCTGGGCGTTTCGCTCGGGACATCCTCGAAATTCTGAAAATCGGTGGCACCCCTCACGCAGATCGCGACGTCAGGGTCCAAAAACACATGGGAAATTCAACATTTTAACATAACACCTTCAAAAACACATGGTAATTTCAATAATTGTGACCCCGATTCTCAGTGAATGGCGGTTTCGCTTGAAAAATCCTTCCAAAATCGAGCCCCAGACCCCGCCTCGGAGCCTCCTGGGGGCCTCCTGGAACCTCCTGGGGCCTCCTGGGCCTTCTGAACCTTCTGGCACCCCAGACCCCGCCTCGGAGCCTCCTGGGGGTGTCCTGAAACCTCCTGGGGCCTCCTGGGGCCTCCTGCGGCCTCCTGGAGCCTCTTGGGGCCTCCTGAAGCCTCCTGGGGTCTCCTGGGGCCTCCTGAGGCCGCCTGGGGCCTCCTGGGGCCTCCTGGGGCTTCAGAACTACATGCACACAGAGACACAAATCACGCCCAACACATCACACGCTAGACAAACATAACACACACACACAACACCTACAACACACAAAAAGCACGCACCACACGAAGCATACATCACAAACACACACACACACACACACACACACACACACACACACACACACACACGCACAACACTCACAATCCTGGGGCCTCCTGGAGCCTCTTCTGGTATCCAAGTCGGGCCTCCTAAGGCTTCCTGGGGGCCCTGGTACACACATCGCAAGGTGTGGCAACCCCACTTGCGCTCGAGTGCGACTTCGATGTTGCATTTCACTCCTGCTTCAAACGCCCCTTCAGTTTTTTGTATGAGCCTGGGCACACACGTGCCACTTGTATATATATATATATATATATCATACATATAGATATATCGGAGTAGGCCAGGGGAGGGCCCAGAACTGCTGCCTCTGGCTCGTATGGGGGGCTGGGGGGGCCTTGAGGGCTCCAAGAGGATTCAGAAGGGGCCCCGGACCCCCCCAGAGGCTCCCAAGCTGGCCTAAGAGGCGCCCAAAGCGCCCCAGGTTGTTTGGAAGGTGGCTGAAGAGCGCACTGAGATGGCTTCCGGACGGGCCACGAGCGCTCGAAGACAGCCCAAGACTGCTCCTAGACGGCCACAAAGGCACTCAAGACGGTCCAAGAGGCCGCCGAGAAGTCCAAGGGCAAAAATCAAGCAGTTCCTGTGGAAAAGTATGTTTCCTCGATATTTGTTTTTCAGTCCTACTAGACGGGGCGCGGCCCGCAAGTGGAGCGGCCGCGCGAGAGCGCGAGTGATTAGTTTTAAGTCGGGCCTGTCCCTCTACAGGGGGAATTATCAGAAACAGTCGAAAACGAGTATGGGGGCTATTTTTTGTTATTTTGTGACCATGTGGGAGTATTTGTCCCAAGCATCCTGTGGTGTTGGGTCCTCGTTTTGAAGAGACGGTCCCCGCGTTCTCCTCCTCTCGTGCTCCCCCCCCCTCCTCCCTACCGTCCGCATGCGTCCCGCACACCCAGTACAGCGTTTCGTGGCCCCCTAGGGAGCTCCACCGAAAGTCCCAATGCTACCGTCCGCATGCGTCCCGCACACCCAGTACAGCGTTTCGTGGCCCCATAGGGATCTCCACCGAATGTCCCAGTGCTACCGTCCACATGCGTCCCGCACACCCAGTACAGCGTTTCGTGGCCCTCCTCCCCCTTCTCCCTGCGTTTCGCCCACCCAGTACAGCGATTCGTGGCCCCATAGGGAGCCCCACTGAAGGTCCCAGTGCTACCGTCCGCATGCGTCCCGCACACCCAGTACAGCGCTTCGTGGCCCCATAGGGAGCCCCACCGAAGGTCCTAGTGCTACCGTCCGCATGCGTCCCGCACACCCAGTACAGCGCTTCGTGGCCCCATAGGGAGCTCCACCGAAAGTCCCAATGCTACCTACCGTCCGCATGCGTCCCGCACACCCAGTACAGCGATTCGTGGCCCTCCTCCCCCTCCTCCCTGCGTTTCACCCGCCCAGTACAGCGCTTCATGGCCCCATAGGGAGCCCCACCGAAGGTCCCAGTGCTACGGTCCGCATGCGTCGCGTACACCCAGTACAACGTTTCGTGGCCCCACAGGGAGCCCCACCGAAGGTCCCAGCGCTACCGTCCGCATGCGTCCCGTCCCGCACACCCAGTACAGCGTTTCGTGGCCCTCCTCCCCCTCCTCCCTGCGTTTCACCCACCCAGTACAGCGCTTCGTGGCCCCATAGGGAGCTCCACCGAAGGCCCCAGTGCCCCCGTCTGCATGCGTCCCGGAAGCCCAATTTGGTATTTTCCCCCACCCAGTGCAGCGCTTCGTGGCCCCATCGGGGGCTCCACCCAAGGCCCCAGTGCTACCGTCCGTATGCGTCCGGGAAATGTAATTTGGCATTTTCACCCGCGCAGTGCAGCGTTTCGTGGCCCCATAGGGGGCTCCGCCGAAGCCCCCAGAGGGACCGTCCACATGCGTCCCGGTAATTCAATTTAGCACTTTCACTCAGTAGAGCGCTTTGTGGCCCCATAGGGAGCTCCACCGAAGCCCTCAGCGGGACCGTCCGCATGCGTCCCGGAAACCCAATTCGGCACCACCCACACAGTGCAGCGTTCCCCCCCGCCCAGTGCAGCGCTTCGTGGCCCCATAGGGAGCTTCACCGAAGCCGATATTCACAATTACGGTACCCACAACTGCATAAGGTTGGGACCTTCGCCAGGATAATCCCACCAGCCCTCCTGGGCGTCGGTGGTTTAGGGCGTGTCCTCTTCCACCCCTCCCTCTTCCCCTTCGGGGAGGGGTTTACCCCTCCCCCTAGGTCCTCCCCGTGGACCTGGACGGGGGAGGCCGCGGGTAGTTAGAGCGTCCAAAACGGCCTCGGCGAGGAAGCCTAAATCATTGATTTTACGAGGGTTCTGGCCCCATTTTGGCCTCCTGGGGGGCGGGGGGGGGGGGGGCGTAATTGAGGAACGCCCCTTCGTTGACCGATCTCGTCCAAGATGGCCCCAAGAAAAGCCCAGGAGGCCCCAAGAGGTCCCAAGATGGCCCCAAAATGGCCCCAAGAGGCGCCCAAGAGGCCCCCAGGAGGCCCCCAAGGAAACCCTAAGCGGCCCCAAGAGGCCCCCCCCGAGGCACCCCAGACCCCGAAGAGCCCCCCAGGATCGCCAAAAGACCCCCAAGACGTCCCAAGAGGCCACCAAGAATCGCCCAAGAGATACCCCAAGAGGCTCCGATAGGCATCCAAGAGACCTCTGGCCCTTATGCTTGTCCTCCTCCTCCTCCTCCTGTTCCTCCTTCCTGCTCCTCCTCCTCCTCCTCCTCCTGTTCCTCCTTCCTGCTCCTACTCCTTCTCTTCCTCCTCCTCCTCCTCCGCCTCCTCCTCATCCTATTCATCCTCCTTCTTCCCACTCCCTCATCCATCCATCCATCCACCTCCTCCTTCTCCTCCTCACTCCTTTGCACGGTTCGGCCGTCCTCCTCTTTGCTGCCGCACTTCCGTGATCACCTCAATTCGCTTGTACATCGTTTCTGGATGGGTTGGTGGGGATACTTTTTTTGTCGCGGGCGTAAGCGGAAGCGCAGGCGCCGAGTTGAAAGGTCCGGGCCACGGGCCTATCAAATTAGCAACGCGCGAGCCTAAGAGCATGTTGGTGGGGACACTTTTTTGGTCGCGGCCGCAAGCGAAGAGCGCAGGCGGCGAGCAGGGCTTGGTGGGGATACTTTTTTTGTTTGGTCGGCGGCTCCAAGGCAACGGTCAGGGAGCGAAAGCGGCGTCCGGGATGCGGAACGGTGCGAATTTGCGAACAAAGCCGCCAGTGTCGGCGGGCAAGTTCGCACCTGCAAGACAAGCTCGCAGTTGCACATGCACAGAGCAAAATGAACTAAATTCACAAGCAAACGCACATAGGCGCAGCAGCGTGAACCGAAGTAAACGGGCTGCCGAGAAGAAAGTGCGTAGGCAGCGGAGTGAGTCGCCGGGGCGGCGCCAAACTCCAGGCCGACCTGCACAAGCCGAACGGCTGAGCAGTGTAACCGAGCCAGTGCGCGGGGGAAGATCAAAGGCTGCACAGGCGCTGCAGGCTGAACCACTCAGCGCCCAATCCTCAGAAATCCTCCACCCAGCCGGGGGGAGCCAGCGGCAGCCCAAGGCGCACCGTGTTGCCGTCACCTGAGGCGGGGAGGTCCGCTGGCGACCGAGACAGTGCGCGGGGGAAAACCAAAGGCTGTACAGGCGTTGTAGGCTGAACCACTCAGCGCCCGAACTCAGAAGCCCAACTCCCAGTGCCGATGGGAGCCAGCGGCAGCCCACGGCGCAACTGTGCCGCTGGGTCCTGAAGCGAAGAGGCCCGAAGGCATGCAGCACCGCCGTCATGTGGTGAGGGTCGGAACCTTGGTGGTGGAGACGTCTGCGCTGCCTGCCAGGGGGGGTCCTGCTGAAGTGAGGCTGAAGTGGCCAGCCACCCCAGTCTGTCACGTGTCGCTGCCCATGAGCTCGAGCGCGGTCCCACACCAGATGTCTCCCCACGCCGTGGAAACTGACGCCGGGATGGTCAAGGAAGACCAGGAGCAGCGCGACCCACGGGACGAGTAGGGAGGAGGAGGGCCACAGTCCAGGGAAGGCCGCAACAAGGTTGGTAGGGGATACGAGAAGCGGCTATAATTGAGTCGTTTTTCATTCTTCGTCGAAGATTTCCCCCCCCGTAGGGGGACAGGCCCTTCCTAAGATTAGTCGTGCCCCGAGAGGCTGAGTGGGCCCTGGAAGCCCGGACCACCTGGCGCTGCCGAAGGAATCAGGGCGGCAGGTTTGCGTCGCCGGTTGCAGCCTCAGGAGGCCCTGGCCGGGCCTCGGTGACCGTCAGAGATCATGCGGGATGAGAACCAGCCCCGGGGAGGTGGTCCAGACCTCTGTTGGTGGTCCCCAAACCAGGTTGTGAGATATCAGGTGGTGACCTGGAATCCCCAAAAAGTCACCCCCGGGTTTTGGGACACGGGCTCACCGCCAGGTCTTGTGACTCCTGGGCCCACCAGCGTTCGGGACATCCTCGAACAAGCGCATGAGTCCCCAAACCGGGTGGTGACACCAAATCGCCCGAGACACCGCCAGGTGTTGTCACCACCACGTTTGGGGACTACAAATCTGTTGGTGGTCCCCAAACATGGTGGTGAGAACACCCGGTGGTGAGTTTTGGGCGATTTGGGTAGTGGTTTTCGAGCGCTGGCTGGCCCAGGAGGCGCAAAACCTCGTGGCGATCGCGTGTCCCCAGACCCGGTGGTGGCCCAGAATTATTTTTTGGGAGAATCGGGGTCACCACCGGGTGTCTCACCACCTGGTTTGGAGACCACCAACTCTGGGGGTCGACGTTGCGGAAAAAACGCGACGTCTGGGGTTTGGGAACGACAGGGCCGTTTCTTCACCTGTTCCATTTTGCCGTTTTTTGTTGCGGGTTCCGTCGCCGTCTGTTTCTGCCAGTTCCGTGGTCCAACCCACGAGCCGTTTTGTTACCGTTTCTGGTCGTCGTTTTTTTGCTTTTTCGATGTTCAAGAGATTTTTTCAGAAACGGCGGCAAAAAAGGTTTTGCCGCTTCTGGGGCCCACTAAGCCCAGAGGTCCCCAGAGGTTTCCCAGAGGCATCCGCCCTGACGTTGGATCCGGATCAGGGTTGCTGCTCAAGGCAAACGCCGAAAACTACACACCTTGATGCCTTCATACCTCCTTTCGTACAAGTTCAGATCGGTCGGACGAGTATGCCAGTGAAACTCGCCACCACGGGAGGATTTCGACTCCTGCTGTGGCAAAGCCGCATTCGTCGGTTACTTGCCCAAGTGGCTTTACCACTCACTGGCGTGGGGGGCTGACTTTCTGCAAGTCGAAAAGCGTCCTGAGTTGGCCCAGTGCGGTGTCAACGTGTGCGGGCATGGGTATGCAGCTCGTTGAATCACCACGTTAGCGAAGTCCGTAATCGTTGATCAATGGTGGGCCAGCGGCTCGTGGATTGGCTTGTCGTGCCCTTCGGCCATTTCGGCGTGCGATTCGCGCCTGTTCCAGTGGTCTTGGAGCGTGAACGGCTCCACTGTCACCAGCACCTACAACCGTCTATTCTTCGATGCAGGTGGGACCATCACAGGCGGTGCGCCCAATGAACACTGCGCGCACTGGTGGAGCGGCGGCGATTGGGCGCCTGGACTGTGCAGCCAGGCTACCTACTACCGAGCTCTCTGCGAGGAGGCGATTTCGATGACGCCCAGCCCATTTCCAGCGCCGACGTCCAGCCCGACTCCGGCGCCGACGCCCAGTCCACGAGCAGCCCGACAAGCAGCCCGACCTCCAGTCCGACCGCGTCCCCGATGTCCAGTCCGACGAGCAGCCCGACCTCCAGTCCGACCTCGTCTTTCCCAGGGAATGTGGCGACGAGTTCGACCGTTGGCGATCCCCACATGAAGAATGTATTTGGCGAGCGTTTTGATTTGATGGTGTTCTTATCAACATCCCTCGTGGAGAGCGCGCTTCAACAACACTGCTTCGCGTGCAGGCCGATGCACGCCGATTGGGTGAACAGTGCACGGATCTGTATTTCCAAGACGTGAACGTGACCCGGTCTTGGGCAGAGGCAAAACAAGCCAGAGGGTTTCATTACAGCGCATCGCAGAGCGAGGTCGAGGCTCCGAAGTGGGTTACTTTTGGTAAGGTCGAGCTGAAGGTCGTTCGTGGGCATGCGGATGGCGGCATGTCGTACTTGAACGTGTACGTCAAGCATTCAGGCCGAGCTGGGTTTGCTGTCGGAGGTTTTCCAGGCGAGGACGACTACAGCGACGCGAGCACGCCCGCGGCTGGGTGCGTGCGGCTTATGAGCTTACGATTACACTGGACCTGCGCACGCTTCGGAATAGCAGTGGCTTCCGACCGGTCTGGACTGCAGAGGCAACATACGCTTAAGTTTGTTTTCCAGTTGCGGCGCTTCCTCGTGCTGAAGCGCACGTTGCGGATACGCACGGCCAGCTCCGCTCCCCACATTCGACGAAATTGTGTATGTCTGGCTGGGTGGGCAACTGCGCGCCGATGCATCGATATTTCGAGGCCTGCCTCCCTCTCCTCGTCCCCGTCCTCTTCCTCTCCTCGCTTCCCCCTTTTTGGTCCTTTCCAAACTCCCTTCACTCATCAGTGTCTCCTGCTCCGATCACCCCTTTTTGAGCTGAGCGGCGCCTGCTCGTGCTGAAACATACGTTGGCGCTCGAGGCAATCAAACAAGCAAACAAACAAAAAGCAGAAAAAGTAAAGCGGACGTTTCCACAAGGGCTATGGCGAAAACAGCGACGGCATGGTAGGGCGGAAGATCTACATCAGAGGAGCTTGAACAGTAGGGCGGAGATTGCCGCCTTATCTGCGAAGGCGCGTGGTGGACCCGAAGCCAGTGAAGACCCGAAGTGAGGGTGGAGATTCCGAACGAAGAGTACGGCGGACCCGAAGTCAGGGTGGAGGTCCCCGGAGGCCTCCCGGAGCTCTAAGGTGGTGATTGCCCCCCCCCAAAGGTCCTCGCAGGTCTCCCAGAGGCCTCTGGAGGCCTAGGATGCCTAAGAGGGAGGCCGACAAGGTTCAAAACTCAGATCGACCCCAAAAACCTCGATCGTGAGCTCGCATCACATCTTAGGGTATGCTCGGCCTATTCTTCTCCTGGGTCTACCCCCAGCCTAGCTCAGATTCAGCAGCCAGTCAGCAGGGCACATTCGAGCACATCTAAGCTTAATCTAGACCTCGGGTTTGGCTGTTCTTGCTGGGCTTGACACCGGGCTGGGCTGGAAGTCATGCTCCGAACTGAAAGTATCGACAGTTTGACGTTTTTCGGGTAGCTTCGGGATGGTATACGGACAAACGTCTCTTGAGCGTAGGCTGTGCTGGTCGGCTTGGCGTGAGGCGCCTTGTGCGGGGGGATCCCAAAACATGCTGCCCATAATGACAGAATGATCACACATTGTGCGGAGATTCTTCATGTCGATGCCCTCAGAGCATAGCTTTCCCTCCATGTTGCATGCCACTGTGGAGCGGTCACTGGGGACGCAACCGCCCAGAGCTCCCGCGGGCACCCCTTGTGACGCCGGCCAGCAGCGCGACGGAGCAGGCCTGGCATTAAGTCGGGCACGTCCCTCTACAGGAGGAATTTGTCAAGAATGGTGCAACAATTGTCAGTGAACGATTTTTCTATTATTCTTTGACAATTTCCGATTTGTTCGACTACATTGCATTTTCCCTCCAAAATCCGCCTGCAGGAGGACATGACCGACCTAAGTCTGGCAGTCGTCGTCGTCGTCCCTTCACCACGCCACATTGCATCTTCCTTGGCTCGCCAGCCGTGAAATCAATGAAAAAAGAGATGCGGGGAGGGCCAGGTTTCGACATTTGTGCGAGGACCCGCGCTCGGGAACGCTGCGGCTTGCGGAGCGAGGGGGCGCTTGTGATCTTTGGCAGGGCGAGGGGCGTGGGCGAGAGAGGGCCGCGGTCTCGAGGCAGGTCGGGTGCTGGGAGAGCTGGGCTGAGCGCAGCGCAGGGCCCAGACCCTCTCGCGTCCAATCCCAGAAACACATGAGGTTTTCGGCAAATTTTGGCCCCCGTTCCAAAACATATTCAGGACGAGAAGCCATTGTAGTACCCTGTGGGACCTGCACTAGAACAGGAACATACCGCGGGAGGATCTACTCTTTCTCCGACTTTGCACTGCGCCGAACGCAACGGCCACGCTGTCCACAGACGTATCCACCCCGAAAGCATCTCTGGACAGCATGGCACCCAATGTGTTCATAGACGCTTCTGGCTAGGACGTGGGGGCGGTATTTGGCATCGGCCCCAGATGTTGGCCTTCTGGAGAAGCAGGTAGGCTCGGCCCTCCAAAGGAGCCAGTCCCGGGGAAAAAGGGTCCACTGCAGGGAGCCAGGTTTTTTGAACAAAACGCGGCGTCGGAGGTCATGTGGATGCAGTCGGAGCGCAGTAGGGGGGATGGGTTTCGAGGGTGGAAGGGTTTCGAGAGCTCCGAGGGGAGATGTAACGCATCCTGTAGCGCGCGGCAGTTCCCGCCGCCAATATTCATCGAGGATAAAAATGAAGCCTAAAACCAATAACACAGCGAAGACGTGGCCTCTCTAAGATCCCCATTTGTGCATTCGGGATTATAGACGTGGGTGGTCTGGCTCGATGCGTCTGCAGAATGAGCCCCAATCCCTGATGTTCTCGGCCTTCCTAAGGGTTAGGGGTCCTCATTTGGTTATTCTGATCTTGTCCAGACTTGTCTTTAATTAGTTTCGTCACTGCTGAAACGTGCTCGTCCTGCTGGGACTTGCCACGTCCTGCTTAACCCTTCTATGTCCGGCTGGGGCCTGCAAATTCTATTGAGTTCTTTTATATTCCTCAGTCTTGTTGAGACCTGCTCAACCTTGCTGGATTCTGCTATGTCGAACCTGCGAAGTCTTGCTGAAGAATGCCGGGTCCTGCTGAGTGAATAATATGTTTGGAATGTATTGTGTTGTTCAATAACATCACCTGGCAAAGACCCCCGCCAGACTCAGCCATTCTACGTTGGGTGATTAGCCGATATCGCCTTGGGGTTTTAATTATTTTGTAGGGTGGATCGTCTTGCTCGATCTACGCAGGAGTGGTGTGCGTCGATCACGCACGCGGTTTGTCTTGCTGGGACTTGCGCATCACGACAGCAGCATGCGAGTGCGCCCGCTTGCTCGCATCCTGCAACTTGTGCGTGCGTGTGTGTGTGTGTGCGTGTGTGTGTGTGTGTGTGTGTGTGCGTGTGTGTGTGTGTGTGCGTGTGTGTGCGTGTGTGTGTGTGTGTGTGTGCGCTTGCAGAGTCGTTGGTCCTGTTCAGCGTCCAATCCTCAAAACTCGCGGATGACACAACTACATAAACATACATTCTCGGAGTTCCGCTCGGATTTCGTGGATCGGCGCTGGGCCGCCCTGGCGGCGCCTGCAGCGCCGCCCCTGGAGCGCTCCGCGCGCGAGGGAGGCGGGTTCAGCGCCGATCCCAAAAGTTCGCGCAGGCATGCGACAGTTTATGTTTACTATGCAGCTGTTGTTTCTGAAGCCGTGTTTAGAGCGGAGGGTACACGCATGTGAGAAGGTGAGTACACATTCTTGGGAGTTCGGGTTGCCTGCGCGGCACAGGATGTGCGGAAGATGTTGCCGCACCACAAGACGGACGTTGCTCTGCTCATTCAGTTGACTGCCGGCAAGCGCATACGTGCAGTGTTCATGTCACTCGAATAAATGTGGGAGCATGCATGTCTGACGCCAGTGGGACAGCAATCCCTCTAGGTCTCTCTCTCTCTCTCTCTCTTCTTTCCTCTCTCGAGTCAATAGAAGTGAGACGGGTTGCAATTTCCCCGAGCTTCGTTATACAGTCTGATCGGCTCGAAGCTCTAAGGTCTGTTCGACCAGCATCCTTAGGGCACGCCTGTCGTCACCTCTCTTTTTGTTCAGCAGGCCTGTACTTTGTCGAGCGGGCGCTGTCATATCCCCATGCGCAAGACGTGCAACATCTGCTTGGGCCGAGTTCACTCCCACCACCGCAACCTTCTGATGTCCTTGTTCTTCTCCAGCTCTCATCCGTGCCAGCGCTTCTCGCCCCCTCCCCCGCGCCTTCCCTCCTCCCGTCCTGGGGCGACGTGGCCGTCGGAAGGTCCTGTGCCCCCTCGCGTGCCCTCTCAAGTAGTCATGCTCGACTGTGACCCCAGCCATGCGACGTCCTGATTTTTTCAATACGGGGTCCCTGGAAGTCCTGACCCTTTCCCCGGGACCGATTTCTCGTCCCGAGTCGCTGTTCGCCGGCCCCGAGGCCCGGCGAGGGCCCCCCGAGGCCGAAAAAGGCCAAAAACCTCCCGTCCTGATTTTTTCCCTACCTAGGCTCTGCCTAGAAGGGATCTTACTGTCTTGGCTTAAAGGGGCCGGGCAACGTAAACCGTCCCGGGCGGTTCCCCCGGTCCCCTGGGAGCCAAGCAAAAGCAACAGCAAAGGTAAAAGCAAACGCGCGGTTCCCCCAGTTGCGCTCCCTGGGTGCCAAGCAAAAGCAACAACAAAGGCAAACGTGAAGGCAAAAGCGAAGGCAAAGCAAAAGCATAGCATAGCATAGCATAGCATAGCGCAGCATAGCATAGCGCAGCATAGCAGAGCAGAGCATATCATAGCATAGCATAGCATAACATAGTCTAGCCTAGCCCAGCATAGCATTGCGCAGCATAGCATAGTATAGCAGAGCATAGCAGAGCAGATCATAGCATAGGATAGCATAGCATAGCATAGCGCAGCACAGCATCCACGATTGCTACTACTACTACTACTACTACTACTACTACTACTACTACTACTACTACTACTACTACTGCTACTACTGCTACTACTACTACTACTACTACTACTACTACTATTACTACTACTACTACTGACTACACTACTATTACTACTACTACTACTACTACCTACCTAACCTACCTACCTACTACCTACCTACCTACCTACCTACCTACCTACCTACCTACCTACCTACCTACCTACTACTACCTACTACTACCTATACTACCTACTACTACCTACTACTACCTACTACTACTACTACTACTACTACTACTACTACTACTACTGCTGCTGCTGCTGCTGCTACTGCTACTACTACTACTACTACTACTACTACTACTACTACTACTACTACTACTACTACTACTGCTACTACTACTACTACTACTAACTACTACTACTACTACTACTACTACTACTTACGACTACGACTACTACTACTACTACTACTACTACGACTACTACTACTACTACTACTACTACTACTACTACTACTACTACTACTACTACTACTACTACTACTACTACGACTACTACTACTACTACTACTACTACTACTACTACTACTACTACTACTACTACTACTACTACTACTACTACTACTACTACTACTACTACTACTACTACTACTACTACTACTACTACTACTACTACTACTACTACTACTACTACTACTACTACTACTACTACTACTACTACTACTACTACTACTACTACTACTACTACTACTACTACTACTACTACTACTACTACTACTACTACTACTACTACTACTACTACTACTACTACTATACTACTACTACTACTACTACTACTACTACTACTACTACTACTACTACTACTACTACTACTACTACTACTACTACTACTACTACTACTACTACTACTACTACTACTACTACTACTACTACTACTACTACTACTACTACTACTACTACTACTACTACTACTACTACTACTACTACTACTACTACTACTACTACTACTACTACTACTACTACTACTACTACTACTACTACTACTACTACTACTACTACTACTACTACTACTACTACTACTACCTACTACTACTACTACTACTACTACTACTACTACTACTACTACTACTACTACTACTACTACGACGCTGAGGAGAAGGAGGAGGACGGCGTTTACCGCTCCTACGACTGTTACTTTCCTAGAGGCTCCAACTCCTAGGTAGGGTCGCACTGGGATAATTTTCAAACGACGCGATCATGTTTGGGTCTTCCTCTTCTTCCGTAGCCGTCGCGGCTCACGCCGCCCGGGCTCGCCCGCGCGCGCAGCCACGCGCGTCCGGCTCGCCCGCGCGGGCCGATGGGTTGCCTGGGGTGTGTTCCAGCGGAGGCGGCGCCCTGCTGCACACGGGTGGCGGCATGGTGGCGGCACGGTGGCGACATGGTCACCCCCGCTGTTCCCGCGCCCAGCCCGCCGGCGCCCATCGAGGAAGAGAACGCTGCGCAACCGTACCCTTTCGGAGCTCCGCGAGCTTTGCTTCTTGATCTTCGCTGGGGCCCCCCTGGCGGCGCCTCCGGTGCCGCCCATGGCGCGCTCCGCGCGCCAGGGATCAGAGCGTGAATTACATGCCCCGCTTTCGCTTCCAGGCAAAACCAAGTCATACCACGCGCCTCCTCGTCAGGCGGCCTGACCAGTACAGGCCGTAGTTTGCCCATCGCTTGGTATCTCTTGGAAGCGAGGGTGGCCAAAAGCGAGGTAGGTCTGTCTGCCCCCTAAGTCAGGAGGGAAAAAAACACACAGACACAATTAATCGTCGATTCCCAGAAAATATGGGAAAATATGGGAAGTGGGGGGGAAGACAGAAACCCAGAAAATATAGGACAATATGGGGAATCGTTTTCTTTGCGTGTATTTATTTGTGTGTCCTGGGGCCCCTTCACTAAGGGAGGGAGGCCCAGCGCCGATCCGAGAAGTCCGCGCGGAGCTCCGAAAGTTTCTGCTCGCGCGGCTTTCCCTTCCGGCGTCGGCCCGCCAGCGCCCCGGAGGGAGAGCAGCGCGCCCGGGCCGCACGGGGCGCCGAGCAGGAGATGATGCGCCGATTCTCCACCACTGCCCTAGGGAGGAGGAGGAGGAGGAGGAGGAGGAGGAGGAGGAGGAGGAGGAGGAGGAGGAGGAGGGAAGGAGGAGGAGGAGGAGGGAAGGAGGAGGAGGAGGAGGGAAGGAGGAGGAGGGAAGGAGGAGGAGGAGGAGGAGGAAGGAGGAGGAGGGAAGGAGGAGGAGGAGGAGGAGGAGGAGGAGAAGGAGGAGGACCTCCCCATCCTCAATTCCCCCGTCCTACCTGTGGCAGTGGTGGTGGAAAATGCGCCCATCAGGACACCGGCCAGGGCTCGGGCCCGCACGCCGTCCGACCCCGCCGGCCGTGCCAGCACGCCCGGGCGGGCCAGGACGTGGACCACGGCGTCGACCGCGAGCTCGTCGCCTGCGAGGCGCGCCTCTATCACCGACGCCGTGAGGAGTCACGAGCGGCGAACCTCCCTGACAGCCCGGCGTCTGAATTTTGTCTCGAGCCGGGCGTTTGCGCCTTTCTTCGGGCCTTTGGGGCCCTCACAGATCGATCCGGCTCGCAGAGTGGTGCAGAAAGATGGGGTATACAGGGCCCCAGGCGTGATTTTTGTTCGATGTTGCCATTTTTCCGCTACGTCGGATCTCACTGAGATCCGACGTAGATCCCTGAGATCATCTCAGGGACAATCGAACTTATCTGCGCCCTCGCGGTCTGGATTCCGGGGCGCGGTCCCGCGGGTGCGCGGTCGCACGGAGGCGCTCCGCGCGGGGCCTCCGCGACAAGAGCGCCCCGCATCCGCCTGCTTACCAGCCTGGAACATATCCCTATCCCTATGCTGGGCATCTCCCCATCACGATGCCAATCTTAGGGATTCCCTTATTTTTTGAGGGCGGATCCCTAAGATTGTCATCGCCTTTTGGCGTGTCAATCTTAGGGATAGGGATACGTTCGAGGCTGGCAACGGGCCCAGCGCGCGAGGCTGCGGATGCGGATGTGTTCTCGCCCGAGAAGGTCGGGCGGGTGGTAACGGGGGGGGACCCACATGGGGGGTGGAGAACACGGCCCCAAAGGGGCCCTTCTTCAGGGCCCCCTTTGGGCCCCTGCTGACTCGACAAGGGGCCCTACAGGGCTTCTTCAGGGCCCTCGGGGGCTCCTCTAGGGCCCTTTTCTTCACCCCATTTAGGTCCCCCACTGCAGTACGGTCGCGTCGTGTCGACTGGCGGCGACCCCGCCGCCGGTCCTCAATTTTGAATGCCGCCGGCGACCCAGAATCGGTCGATGTTGACCGAGCTGGCGTTTCGGAGACACCCCAGACCCCCGACGTCGTGATTCTTTTCACAACGTCGACCCCCAGAGGTCCGGACCCCTCCTCAGGGACCGGTTTTTCATCCTGAGTCGTTTCTTGACGGCCCCGAGGCCCGGCGAGGGCCCCCGCAGGCCGAAAGCAGCGAGAAGCTTCCCGCCCTGATTTTGTTCACAACGCGAGGGGGTCTGGGATCCGAGCGTTCCAGGTGGAACGATCCCCGCGGTGCCAGAAACCAACGCCAGGGTCGACACGACATACGAGCCTGCTGCACCCGCCCGAGAAGGAGCATGCAGAACCTGCTCCGGCCCCGCGCCGGCTCGTGCTCCCTCTGCCTGCGGCTCGGCGGCGGCGCCGGCCTTCGGGCGGACGCCAGCGCGGGTCTCTACGCCGTGGTCGCCGTGGGCTTCCGCGGCAGGGGCGCCGGCCAGGAGCGCGTCGTCCACATCGGCTGCACGCAAGAGAGACCTTTCGCCGGAGTGGCCTCTTGGTGTTGGGCCACTGGGCCCCCATGTATGGCTGATCGCGACGCGATAGCAGCGTCTCGTTGCGCGCTTGTGTTTGGTCCCCCACGCGGCCCTCAAAAAGCCGCGCACCAAATGGCAATCTTGCCCAGGGTCACTCTTGCGCGTAGCCGAACATAGGGGGCGAGGATGTTCTCGCCGTGGGGCCTGCGGTCGAGCTGCCGTACCACCAGTCGGAGGGCGCCATCTCTACACCGACAGCCGAAGCCGATGGTAGGGGCGGGTGATCTCCCTAAGGGTACTCTTGCAACTGTGCCTCTCTGGCCATCCTTGACCACTTTCGATGGCCCGCCGCGCTCGAAAAAGCTTCAACACGGGCGTCCACGGGGGTTGCATCCTTATCGCGCGTCCTTGCTATCATTTTTTGGCAGTATACCCTCGACCTGCACCTTCCGCACCTTCTGCTCGGAAGGTGCCGCCGCGATGCGGCCACGGCGGCGGCCGCGGCCGCGGCAGCGCTTCACCGTCCTGCCGCGCGGAAGGCGCGGACGGTGCAGGTCGAGGGTACGCCGATCCTGGCCAGGTCGACCTGGGTCTCAGGATTCGCGTGCACGCCCCCCTGGCCGAGCCAGGAGGGCTCGGCGTACCCTCGACCTGCACCTCCCGCACCTTCCACGCGGCAGGTACCGCGCCGCCGCGGCCGCCGCCGCGGTCGCAGCGGCGGCCACCGTCGAGGCCGCAGCGGCGGCCACGGCGGCCACGGCGGCCGCCGCGGCGGCATCGCGGCGGCGCCGCCCACGCGGAAGTCGCAGAAGGTGCAGGTCGAGGGCAGGCGTATGTCGAGTAGGAGACCGATTGTAGAACTGAGTTGCCCCAGAATTGCTTGTCCCGTCGAGTCGGCGAGAAATGCGCAGCATGCTCGGTAGATCTACGGAGCCTTCGACGCATTGCTCTTTAGACAGAAGGGAGGCAGTTCTGGGATCCGTCCGTTCTGCGGTCGATCCCCTCCTCGAGGAGAGCTGGCGCCCTCCTAGCCAGGAGGACTCGCTGGTGCTCCGGGTCTTCGACGGGGGCGGCCGCGGGGCGCGGGGGCGCGGCCGCCTGGTCGGCGAAGCGGTGCTGCGGCTCGGGCTCCCGGGGCGGCCCCCGCCCCACTTCCGGGCCGACGCGCAGCTGCTGGACGGGGCGCTGGAGCCAGCGGGCGTCCTGCCGCTGGAGGTGCCGTGCGCCCGGGAAAAGTACGGGCCGGGGGGGGCGCGTAGTGGTAAGTCGGGCGTGTCCCTCTGCGGGAGAAGTGCTCATTCGTCCGATGGGGAGGCCGAAGGCCTTCCTCGTGCGGCCAGGTGCAAGACGTTCTGACTCGAGCGACCGTGGAAGAGGGCCTCAGGAGAGCTATTGCCAGGGGTACTTCGTCTTCTGAGGCTGACGCCACTCCGCGATGGTCTGGGGCCAGAGGAGTTCCAAACCACAAGAAAAAAATAGCAAAACAATAGTCTGGTAACGATTTTTCGTGATGTTTTGGTTGCGTTTGGCTATTCTTGATCATTGCTTCTTTGTGTTTGTGTTTAATTCAAAATTCGCCCGAAGGAGGACATGCCCGACCTAAACCCTGAGCCGCTCGCGTTGTGAAGCCCTGACCCCCTCGCGTTGTGAAAAAAACACGACTGTCGGCTTTTCGCCATTTTCGGCCTCCGGGGGGGGGCCCTTACCGGGCCTCGGGACCGTCCAAAAACGACTCAGGATGAAAAGCTGGTCCCTGGGAAGGGGTCCAGACCTCCGGGGGTCGATGTTGCAACAAAAATCACGACGTTGGGGACCTGGGAAGGGGGACAGGAAAATACGGATCGGGGGGCGCGTCATGGGCGGGTGGTAAAAGTGGGGGGCCCGGCGAGGCCTGCCGAGAAGGGGCCCATCAGGGCCCCGAAAAGGTGCCCTTTCGGGCCCAGACGGGGGCCCGTAGAGCCCGAGAAGGGCACCTTTCTTCCCCCCCCCCCGTATCGCCCCCCGTCAAGTCGGGGCTCAAGAGACGGGGATCAATGCGAACGGGGGTCGGTCAGAGCGCCGGATCTTGCAGGGTCCTGCAGAGCCAGGGTTGCACTGACCCGGGCTAGCGTACAGTCTCCTCCAGGATTCTGCAGGATCCTGCAAAGCTTGACTGGCCTGGGACTGGATTGACCCAGGTCAGTAGATCCCTGAACGGGAACGATGGCCAATAGCAGCGCCTGCTCATCTGGATCAAGACTTACTGTCATCCTGGCCCCTCGGACAACAGATCTTGCCATGTTGACGGCAGCTCTTGCTTTTGAGGCAGCGCCCTTGGTGCCCAAAGTAATTATCTAGAATTGATGTCAAACTGACAAGAATTGATGCCAGAAAGTGTTCCGCAGAACAGCAGCTCTTCTCCCACATAGGCACGCACTATACTCTTGAGCGTCGTACCCATCCTTCTGGTTCCCACTCTGGGCGTGCAAACAGGTGGACTGGCAGGGTCTGGAGTCCGGGGAGGCGGCGGCCAGCTGGTGCCCACAGGTAGCCCCCGCGCGCATTCAGCGCAACCACCTTTTGGGGGTGCTGGCGGACTTCCTCGACTGCGAGCTGGCGGCCTTCAAGACGTACCGCGTGGCACTTCGGGGCGTCGCGGCCGTCTTTGGGGAGGTCTGGAGCGCGAACCACGACGTAAGGCACGCGAAGATCTTCGCGGAGGGCGCCCAGGGAGAGGTGCTCCGCGCGTGCATCCAGTCGGAGCACGCCGCGCTTTACGGCGGCCACGCCGTCGGAAGAGGCGGAGGCCGTGCTCCACGCATCGGAAAATATCTTTCGACAGGCCACGACTTTCTTAATATGATCAATCGCGGTGTGCAAAGAGGTTTGATGCGCGTGTTTACGTACGTCATTCTCGACAGCGGGCTGTTCTTCTCTGAAACGGGCGTCCGAATGGCGAGGGACGTGCTGAGCAAGCACGCCGTGCACGCGAACGCGGAGCCCAGAGTGCGATATGCTGGGACCCTCCGGTGCGCCTTCACGCGAAGCAACGACACGGTCCTCGTCGTGGACAACGACTCAGGGACGTACAGGCCCTGTGGCGAGCACCTCGATCTGGTGCGGAGGGTACTCGAGGCCAACTTCCCTGGCCTGGCGGTGCTGGCCCTGGACGTCGAGCGGGCCCAGCCCGACGACACGAGGCGGTGGGCCGGCCCCGCGGAGGTGCCGGGCTGCGCGGCGCGCCCCAGCGCCGTCCGGCAAGGCCCGGGGGCCTGCGCGCAGGCAGTCCCCCCCCCCCGAGGTGGTCCAGGCGGGCCTCAACAGGCCCTTAAAGCTTGGGGCAGTGCGGGGATCGAGGGTCGAGGAGGGGCATCGAGGATCGAGGATTGAGGAGGAGGAGGAGGAGGAGGAGGAGGAGGAGGAGGAGGGAAGGAGGAGGAGGAGGAGGAGGATCGAGGATCGAGGATCGAGGATCGAAGATCAAGATGCCAATGCTGGCCTCAGCCTGGGCCAACGGTCCCTCCTGCCTGGGGTTGCTCGCTGCGTGTGGCCGAGCTGCTCCGGCCCCCGCCGCCAGCGGCGGCAGCCCCCGCCGCGCGACGGCGCCCCTCGCACTTCTTGGCGCCTCCGACGGGGGAGCCCCGCCCCCGCCGAGCCACGAGCGAGGTCGGCGGCAACGTCGAGGTTCGAGGTGTGAGGTCTTGGGGTGTTCTCGTGGGGCCCTCGGCGGCTCTCCAGGCTCGGGCTGCATCTCAGCGGCTGCGCCTCGCCGCGGGCGTTCCAGAGGTGCCCAGATCGTCTCGAGCGGCTGCCAGGGAGCCGAGTTGTGGCCCGAGAACCGCGGGTGGATCGGCGGCGAAATCTGAACCCGACCCTCGCCGAGCAGCGGTTCTGGCGACTCGATGGGCGGCGGGGGTGGGGTTCGGAATTCGTCGAACACGTGACGAAATCCAAACCCTGATCAAACCTTGATCACGCCTCCCATCGAATCGGGAGAGTTGATGGTTGGCGGGGTCTGGGTTCGGATGTCGCCACCTAGAGAGAGGGCGCCGGGGAGGGAGATAGAGAGGAAGCCCTGCCTGCGCCAGATCCCAGAGCCTTGCCGCCGCCGTCTACAACGGGAAATGGGTCTGGCAGCCGATGGTGACCTCCACCATCACGGCGGTTCAAGGGTGGGGTGCGGGCCAGAGGGATGGCGCCCAGGGGATAGAAAGTGATCCCAGGATGAGTTTGCACTATATGAGGCCCCTCGTGCTTAGGGCCCCATCCCTCGGGTCAGGGGTGGCCTGACCGACCCCTAGCGAACCATCCCTCCCGTGACGTCCCCCTCGCCTCGCTTCCAAGACGTGTGTATGTGGCCGGAGGGAAGCCTGAAAGGCGAGGATGACGTCACGGAACGAGATGGTTTGCTAGGGGTCGGTTCGTCCGCGCCCGATCTGCGGCCGCCGTCGCCGTCGCCGTCGGCGTCGCCGTCGTCGGCGTCGTCGCCGCTGCCGTCGCCGTCGTCGTCGTCGTCGTCGTCGGCGGCGGCGGCGGCGGCGTCGCCGTCGCCGTCGTCGTCGTCGTCGGCGGCGGCGTCGCCGTCGGCGTCGTCGCCGTCGTCGGAGCTCTGCGGCCGCCGTCTTTGGACCGCCGGGCCGTGGCGCTCCTGGCCGGCAGCGGGCTCTCGTGGTGCCTGCGCGGCGGGGGGGGCTGCCGCGCCGGCGCGGCCGTGCCCTCGCGGCCGCCGGGGGGCCGAGGCCCAGGCTGCGGGGAGGCGGAAACCGCAGCAGAGCTCGGAGCTCACCCGCTCGCCGTGCCACTCGACGCCGACTTCACCGGCGTCGTCTGCATCTTCGTGTGCCGTCGTCGTCGTGGTCGCCGCCGTCGCCGCCGCCGTCGCCGCCGTCGTCGCCGTCGTCGTCCGTCCTCTGTCGCCGTCCGTCGTCGTCGATGTCGTCGTTCTCCTCCTCCTCCTCCTCCTCCTCCTCCTCCTCCTCCTCCTCCTCCTCCTCCTGATCTTCCTCTCTCCTCCGTCTCTTCCTCCCCCTTTCTCGTCGTCCTTCTTCCCCTCTCTCCTCCTCTTTCCCCTCCCCGCCCCCCTCACTGTTCTTCCTTCCTCCCGCGCCGCCAGGAGCCAAAGTTCGAGAAGAGCTCGAAGCTGCACGAGATTAACGAGGCGGCCGCGAGGAGGAGCAGGAGGAACAGAACAGGGGGAGAACCAGAGGAATCGCTGGCGGCAGGGCGTCGGCGCCAGTCACCGGCGCCGCCGCCGTGCGTTTCGATCTGGCGGGCGCCACCCCCGCGCATCGCCCGAGCACGGACACCCTTTTTAAAAAATCACACGCCCCCCACAGATGTGCGAATCACAAGCTGACATGTTCGGTGCGCTCGCGCCACATCTGCCGTCCTATCCCTCCCTTCCCTTCCGTTGCGCTGATGTGTTCTCTTTCCGCGGGCGCGTGTCATAGCCGACCTGGAATGCCATTCCCCAGCAAAGCACCCTAGCAGCAGCAGAGGTGGCCTGTGGGATTTGCGGGGTGGGAATTGTGGGACTTGTGTGGTCTGAGGGACCTGTGGAACCTGTGGGAGTTTTGCGGTCTGTGGGACGTGTGGGGCACGTGGGACTTGTGGTGCAGGTAGGAACTGTGGATATGTGGGGCTGTGGGACATGCTGGACTTGTGAGATCTGTGCGAAATGGGGGACCTCTGTGGCCTGCGTGGCCTGTGAGACATGCGACACGTGTGAGATGTGTGGGAACTGTGGAACCTGTGAGACCTGCGAAGCCTGTAGCAACGGCGGGACCTGGGGGACCTCTGTAGGACCTGCGGGACCTGTCGGACCTGCGGTATCTATGAGACCTGCGAGACCTGCGACACCTGTGGGGTCTGTGGGACCAGTTGAACTTGCCAGACCTGTAGTACCTGTGGGACGACTTGCGAATCTTGTGGGTCCTGCCGGACCTGTGGGACCTCTCGGGCTTGCGAGACATGCTGGACCAGCGGAACTTGCGAGACTTGTGGGATCCAGAAGAAAGTGGTCGACGCTGGGGCGAGAGCGCCATTCTGAACGACGGGAACACATCGCCGATCCGAAAATGAGGCCCAGGCAACAGCGAAAGAAACACCGAAAACAATCGGAATGTGTCAACACAAAGGAGAACAGTTCAGCCCATTCCTGCGTGGAAAACATACGGACTGACAGAGGGGGCAGACGGACAGAGGAGAACGAGAACAGTATTCATATGGAGTATTTGTGGAGCAAGAAGGAGGAGAAAAGGAGGAGGAGGAGGAAGAGGAGAGAGAAGAGGAGGAAGAGGATGAAGATGAGGATGAGGATGATGAGGAGGAGGAGGAGGAGGAGGAGGAGGAGGAGGAGGAGGAGGAGGGGGAGTAGGAGGAGGAGGAAGAGGAGGAGGAAGAGGAGGACCATGCTTGAAGTAACGTGGCCTAGGGGTGTCTTAACCCCACTGGTTGAACCAGAGGCCTGGTATACCACCTTCTTGTGCTACTCGAGGACAGGACATGGTCTGCTTTGAGTGCGACGATTCAGCTTCAACCTCGTGTTTGATGGACCAATGCAGCCAGGGGGGTGAACTTCGAAGACCCCTTGATTGAGGCTCAAGCTGAGGCTCAAGCCGATCAAGGAGGAGGGAGGAACGAGGAAGGAATATTGAGGATGGAGGAAGGAGGGGGCAGGAGGGAGGAGGAGGAGGAGGAGGAGGAGGAGGAAGAGGAGGAGAGGGAGGATGGAGAAAGGGGCGGGAGGAAGAGAAAGTAAGAGGAGGCAGGATCAGGAAGAGGAGGAGGAGGAGGAGGACGAGGAGGAGAAGGTGGTGGAGGAGGAGGAGGAAGAGAAGGAGGAGGAGGAGGAGGAGAGAAGGCTGACACTACTCGCGCTACATCCTCATAGCGAGCCCGAGACATTGAGAGGAGAGAGAGGGAGAGAGAGAGAGAGAGATATAGAGGAGAGAGAGAGAGAGAGGCAGAGAGAGAGAGAGAGAGACAGAGAAAGAGAGAGAGAGAGAGACAGAGCGAGAGCATGAGAGAAGGGAAGGCACGAGGGGAACAGAGTGACGGAGAAGAGAGAAGAGGGGGCTGCGGGACATGTGGAAGGGAGTGCAGGAGACTTCAAGGAGGAAGGGGATACGGCCAGGAAGTGGGATGGGGGATGCGCCAGGAAGGCGGGCCGGGCAAGGGGAGGGGGAAGAGGATGATGGGAGGGTGAGGGGCGGGGGAGGCGAAAGCGGGTGGGTGGGGGGCGCATGCTTGTACAGGAGGTTTTGGCACCGCATGGTGCCCGAAAAGGGAGCAGCGCCTCTCCCCGCCGCCTCGACGGCACGGTCTGAAGCCGTCTTGTGCTTTCTCTTGCCGCCGCGCCCATCTTCAAGCAGTGGCGAAACGTCCTGGCGCGCTTCTAGCCCTACCAAACAATGTTCTAAGAACCTTTTATGGTTCCCACGAAATGTTCTTAGAACATGTTCGGCGGAGTCTGTCTTGTCTGAACACATAGGGCTTATGATCTAAGAACATTGTTGTTGTTCTTAGAACATTTCTGGGTTATGTGAACATGTTGTGGTAGGACTACGTATAGGAATGCCGGGACGGTCGGTCCCTTCTCAACATTTGCATTTGACGCATCACATAAGACACCGTTCTTCCAGCAGGTGCCCCACAGAAGTTCCTTGCCCCCCGATGGCCCTTGGGGGGCCACCGAAGTTCTGGGTAACTTCAGGACCAAAGCATCGAGGAAGACTGGTCCCGCACATCTCCTGTAGCAGAGTGTAACCTATCTACTTGCCCACTGCAGCCGCGCAAAGCACGGCGTGCTCGACAGGTCTGCGAGCTGAAGAGCTGCAACAACGTGATCTTCTTCGAGTCCAGAAAGCAGGAGGACCTGTGCGCCCCGGGCCCGCCCTCCGTCGAGCACTCGCTGGCCCGGATGCCCTTCCCTTTGTGCACGTTCTCTCGTTTGTCATTCCCTTGTGCACGGCTGGCCCGAGGGCCACGAGCAATCCTAGCTTCAGATAGGGTGCCCTCCTGTTCCTCGTGTCGGGGGCCCCCACCCAGAAACCTTTCTCGTCTCGAGTACAACTTATGCACATGGGGTCTCGGCCCCTTGGCGAAGAGGCCCACGTCCTTAATCCACGCCCTCGTGGCAATGTTTCGACTGTGCGTCGGGGGCGAATGCGGTATACAATAAACTTATCCGCCGTCGGGGACGCTTGCCCCCAGGGCGGCTGCAAAGTTTATACCCCTACAGTGCCACGTAGGGGTACAGTCGGCCTGGATTAGTAGGTCGGCCCTGCCAAATCAAGGCAACTCTTATGTCCTGTGTCTCGCGACCCATGCCTCTTACATTCCTGTGGCAATGTGGCCCTCGGAAGGGTCTTGTGTCCTCTCGCGTGTCCTGTCCAACCAAGTCTGACTGTTTAGACTTTCCAGCCGCCCAGGGGGCAGGCTCCTCCGACGGCGGAAACATTTCTGTTCTACCGTTCTTCGCGCCCTAGTGTACCTGCAGGCCTTGAACGCCTCCTGCTCAGCATCTCGGCGGCGAGCCTGGTGTGGGGGGGAAGGCAGAATGGCTGGATCCTCTCAGGAGGCTCAGAAGGCGGGAGGCCTTCCGAGCAACGCTCCAGGCCTTCTCGCCGCAGGCCTGGCATCGCTCGGACGTGTGACTTTGTCCCGTTGGGGACCATCGAGGAGCATCCCGGAGCATCTCGCGAACAAAGAGGCACGCACACGGAGCCGACAAATGCACTGGGAGTGGCCGTTCGAGCGATGAGGTACAGTGGAGGCCCATGCCAAGAAACACCCTGCTTGCTCCAGGGTGCCCTGGGTTTCTTGGGGTTCGAGGTCTTTGTCCTGGAAATCGACTGCACGTTAGAGTGACCCTTCGCCGGAGTGACCTTTGGTGCGGGCCCATAGGAGTTCACCGATCGCCGAACGCAACGCGTTAGTAGCGTCTTGCGCGCTTGTGTTTAGGCCCCCAGCGGCCCCCTAAAAGCCGCGCACCAAAGGTCACTCTTACCCAGGGTCACTCCTGCGTGTAGTCGATGGAGAGCGTGATGCTCCCGCACCCAGAACCAATGGACGTCCTGGGGTCTCAGGGTCGGATTTCTTGCGGGAGGTTTCTTGCGGTCGGGCCTCCACGGCCGAGGGCTTCTCGGAAGGCCGAGGGGCTCGTGAGAAGCCCCGCCGCCGCCTCCTGAGCACCCTTGCCCCCTGTTGCGTCTCCCCTCGGCGTGCCGCCGCCGAGCATCGTCGTCATTCTGCATCTTCTCTCCTCCTCCTCCTCCTCCTCCTCCTCCTCCTCCTCCTCCTCCTCCTCCTCCTCCTCCTCCTCCTCTACCTCCTCCACCTCCTCCGCCTCCTCCACCTTCTCCTCCTCCTCCTCCTCCTCCTCCTGCTCCTACTCCTTCTCCTCCTCCTCCTCCTTCTCCTTGTCCTCCTCCTCCCTCCTCCCCCCTCCTCCCCACCTGCGCCTCCTCCTCCTCCTCCTCCTCCTCCTCCTCCTCCTCCCTCCTCCTCCCCCCTCCTCCTCCTCCTCCTCCTCCTCCTCCTCCTCCATCACCTCCTCCTCCTCCTCCTCCTCCTCCTCCTCCCCCTCCTACTCCTTTTTCTTCCCCCTTCTCCCCACCTGCTCCTCCTCCTCCTCCTCCTCCTCCTCCTCCTCCTCCTCCCTCCTCCACCCCTCCACCTCTCCACCTTCTCCTCCTCCTCCTCCTCCTCCTCCCTCCTCCTCCTCCTCCTCCGCCTCCCTCCTCCTCCCTCCTCCTCCTCCTCCTCCTCCTCCTCCTTTTCCTCCTCATCCTCCTTTCCTAGCCTTGTTCTTATTAGAATGTACTCCTAACCCCCTCAGGCCGGCCATTAGGGGCCGCATCCGGGGGGTCCCATCCTAACCTGTAAAAAACAATACAAAATCAACATTTTTCTTATTTTTTCCTCTCGACATGGACGTCCTGTCGTCCACGGCGATAATCCATTGCAAAAAATACCACAAAGAGCACACGCGCGCGTTCATGTCAGAATCCTACCGAACACCGTGTGTTTGCAAGCATTTCAACATAAAAACATCAAAAACCCAATGCTTTTTTCACAAAAATTCTACAATTTTCCTGCCCGGCTCTCTTGCTGAAATCATAGGAAAACCATAGGAATCTTAAGAATTCGGTCAAATCCAGCGATTTCACGTCATCGCGCGGTGCACTCGCGATGCTCTGTCATGCACCCAGGCCGCGAATCCTGTGCAAAAAATACCACGCGGGCGACATGCGCGCGCGTCGCCGCGAGCGCATGCTCAAATCCTTCTAGAGTCGTCGCCGTCATTGGCACCGTCGCATGGACGTCCTGTCGTCCACGTCGCAAAATGCATAGCAGGAATGGGACGCGGCGCACACCCCGCGCCCGCCCATCCAATCCGTCCCATTCTAATCTGCAAAAGACAATACACAGTTTTTGTTTTTCTTGTCAACATGGTCGTGCTGTCGTCACGTCGCAAAATGCGTGGCAGGAATGGGACGCGGTGCACACCCCGCGCGAAGGGGTGACATGTCGCTCTCGCCTCGGCGCCGCGCACCAACGTTTTTCCTCTCAGCATGGACGTCCTGTCGTCCACGTCGCAAAATGCTTGGCAGGAATGGGATGCGGCGCACACCCCGCGCCCGCCCATCCAAACCCCCCCTTTATAAAAAAACAGTACAAGTTGGGGCCTTCAGGCTTCCTGCGGTGTACCGGGCCATTCTCGACTCGTCTGGCAATGCGTGCGCGGCATTCAACACGCGCTCGCCAGTTCCCGTCGGCAACCGCCATCGCGGCCGCATCAGCTGTACCAAACCGGCTGGCCGGTGTGACTTCGGCCCCCAGTTGTGCCAGCTTTGCTTCTTATGTTGTGGGAGGGCGGGTGGGACTGGGCATGCCATGCTTGACTCGCTCGAGCTGGCTAGCTTGACTCC